TCTTTTTCTAACTCCAGACTCTCTGTGTGCCTCTTTCTCCTCTCCCATCCTCTCATTGTCTCTCTTTCCATCAGCTTTGCCCCCCACAAACCTTGTGTGTCTCCTTGTCTCCCCCCAGTTCCTCTGTGTGTCTCTTTCTCCCCCTCACTGCTCCTCTGTGTCTCTTTCTCCCCTCTCCTCCCCGTGTCTCTCTTTCCCCTCTCCTCCCTGTCTCTTTCCCCCTCTGTCTCTTTCTCCCCCTCTTTTCCCAGTATCTCTCTGTTCCTCCTCTGTCTCTTTCTCCCCCATTTCCTGTGTCTCTCTACCCCCTCTCCTCCCTGTGTCTCTCTCTCCCTCTCTTTTTCTCCCCCTATTTTCCCCGTGTCTCTCCCCCTCTGTCTCCTTTTCCCCCTTTCCCTGTGTCACTCTCTCCACCCTCTGTCTCTCTCTTCCCCCTGTGTATCTCAATCCCCCCGTTTTTCTTTCTCCCCTTCCCCTGTGTCTCTCTCTTCCCCCTCAGTCTCTATCTCCCTCTTTTCCTGTATCTCTGTCTTACCCCTCTGTCTCTTTGCCCTCTCCCCGTTTCTCTCTCTTCCCCCTCTGTCTCTTTTCCCCCTGTGTCTCTTAGTCCCCCTTCTCCCTATGTCTACACTTCACCTCTTACCCCCTCAGTCTCTTAGTCCCCCTTCTCCCTATGTCTACACTTCACCTCCCCCTGATGCTGACCTTGTCTTCTGACAGTCTGTCAGACAGCACAGGAGGACTGAGGGGGCAGAGCTGACTTTCATGCTCCCTTGTGGTTCCCATAATTCCCAGCACAGCCACATCACAACTCTATGATGTGACTGTGCTGGGAATTGTAGGAACCATGAAGGAGCATGATAATCCGCTCTGCCCCCTTCCTCGGTCCTCCTGTGCTGACAGCTGTGTGCCGCCGGACCGGCTAAGCGGCCACCCGGCCCGTCAGCACCACCACCATACACTATATGAGATGGGGCCGCCGGCCGCAAGGTAACTATGTAGCGCGGCTGGCCCCGGCCCCTGTTGGGCTGACAAGAGTGTTGCAATCTTCATACTTAGGGTAAGAAAACTGGGCAAGTGCCAACAGCAATGGAGGAACAACACCACACACGTGTTTCACAGCTACACATTCCGGTGGAAGAGGTGGGACAACAACCTTATTTACCATGGACATGTTCAAAGCACCTCAGGATTAAATGTCAACACCCCCATTTGCTCTGACGTGTTATTCACAACAGATATCTTTTAAGAACCTTACATTCCAAAGAAATAACCAGAATTTTTCTGAACATTGTTGCATAGTTAGTCATGATATTTGCTATCATCCTGTCGGTTGGGAAATAATCAAGGACCATGCCACCTTCACTAATCACTGATTGGAGCAATATGTTTACATCTTTGACAGCAAACTCGATTCCTTGAAAGAACTATTGCTCTGTGACTGTCTTCCAAGAGTTGAATTGGTTCATCTTGAGATTGATAGTCCAATCCACTGAGTAACTGTATCAGATACATGTTTTTTTTGTGTAGTCGAAGCTTAAGCCATGTATTCAGCTTCACATGAAGAAAAAGCTAATGCTGAATGTTTCTTGGACTTCCATGCAATCAGTGGATCTTTCTCTGAGACTAAAGTAGAATCCATATACATCCTTGAGTATAGGTTCACTTCTGGCACCTATGATAAGATCATCTAGCTACAGTATCAGAATCCCTTATTCATCTTTATACTGTGTGGGTATACACAGTGGACTACATGATTTTGCTCAGACTCATAATCACTTATAACGGCCATGTAGCACTTTATTCCAATTTCTAGCTGACTGCTTTAAACCATATAATGACTTATTAAACATGAAAACTAGTTTTTCATTATGTTTGCTCTCGACCTCAAAACCTTCTGGTTGCTCTACACATATTTCACAATCAATTGACGTGTGTAAGTAAGCGGTTTTCACATCCATTTGGCGAAGTAAGTCATAGTGTTCTGCAGGTTGCATTAAGGTGTTATGTTTGAAGTTAGGAAGAATATTTCTTCATATTCAACTAGCTTTATTTGATTACAAGTGAATGGGTAATTTTCTCTTGGTAAATGTATTTCCTGTTAAATAGCATTAAGCCAGGACTGTGACTGAGGTCAGTTTATGGCATCGTCAAAGGTTTGTGGAACATCAAACACACTGTAAAAAGAATCAATGTTTGTTAATATATGGTCATTAATTTTGAAATCTGAGACGTAGTCATCCAAGTACTGGGGAATTATTCTATCTCTTTTTGTATAATGCGTACATGATCATTCCTTGTTTGACCATTCTCATTCCTTTAAGTTTCAGTACACTCTATGCCAGCATTATTAGTTTTCGGTAAAGATAGCTTGTTACTCTCTCTTTGGCAATTCTCTTCATCGTGCAATAGATCAGTTTTAATTTGTCTTTCAGCAGCTTTCTTTGTAATAAATTTCACAAGCCTGTGTTTGCGAACATTTCTGGTCTCAGGAAAATACAATAGATACTTAAGAAGGAATGTTCTTGTCATATCTAACAAAGATCCCTATCACATTTCGAAATTAAATTTTTTCTATCATTTTTATATGCAAGACACTCTGACCCAAAACAATTTAGAAAGGTTAGGTCTTTTGCTCAATAACAGATATATTGAGTTTATTTTAGATGGTTATCAAAGCACCAATTTTGATTCTATAAAATTATCTGTTTTATTTCTTACTCACTTGATTTTCTGATTGCTTGTTTTTCTGTGGGGTCTGTGGATATCACATGTTCTACCTTTCTGACTTGACAGCTGCCAGCAAGCAATAGCCAATCAGGTATAGGGCTTCCTTATTTTTTCTGCCTGCTCTGGGCCCTTTTCTGGTTCCAGAATTCTAATGATATTTTTCCTGATCTTGTTTCATTGTTTTTGACTCATATCCTTTGACAATTCTTGATCTCCTATATTTGTGTATAAAACCTGGATCGTACAACTGCTTTGTTCGTGTACCAGACTCTGATTGTCCATCGACCTATGCCAGTCCGTAAATCCTGACTTTGGCCTGTTTGACTACATTTGTTCCTTTCAAAATATATATATTTTGTTCAGTTCACAGTTTTGTTTATTTTCAGGTTTAAAATTTTTTTTAACAAAATTTGTGTTCCTCTCTTGTCTGAAATTTGTTCAATTTAGTTCTGTTATTTCCTAGTTCCTATGTTACGTTAAGATAGGCCACTCTAATGTCCGATCTCTTCTATCCTTCTGTCTTTCCCTTTGTTCTCACCTTTTTAAAGGTCATCTGGCCAACCCTGACACTATGCCCATAATTCCAATGACAATTTACTTTTAGACAACAAACATCTTGCCATTTCGATAATGTTTTCCAGTTTCTCTCAGCAGTGCTATTTTTATGGGGTGAGTAATGAACTCACCATTCTCAGATCTTATACACTTGCTTCCATGTAGAGCTGTGTCAGCAATTAACCTTTCAGTTGTTAACACTGCATCTCTCTATTTTTTCATAAAGTATTTAAACACTGCTCCTGAATAGTCATCAGGGAATGCTTTTAGACCTTTTTTAACTTGTGGTTCTGTGGGACCTGAGAAGTCAGTAAGTACCAGTCCTAGAGCTGCGGTGGCTTTGTGCTTCAAATCAGAACAAAGTTTTTTCTTGAGTCCAAATTTCACAGTTTAGGTCGGACTTAACAATTTTACCCTTAATCCTCATTCCTTCTTCAACATTGTGTAACTTTACAATGTCATCATAATTACAGTGACCTAGAATTGCATGCCAAGTTTGAATACCATATCATCCTATCATCCATGACAGCTGTCTTCATCTTCAGCTAAAGTATTTAGATAGTACAGTCTATTTACGGATTATGAATGTGTTGTCATTCGTGCATATTAGTTATTTTCTAACTTGTTTAAAGTTAACTGATGTGCCATTGTTTATTGCTGCCTCTACTTAGAAGATGACTTGAGGAAATGTAAATGTGGCCATCACAGTCACCTACTTGAACTCTGGTGAGATTTGAAGAATGCGGTTACAGCTGGCAAACCCAAGAATATTACTGACCTGGAAATTCCTCAGGAACACTTCCAGAAGTTGGTGTGTGGCTATGCATCGTGTTTGCAGCAGGTCAGAACAGAAAAAGCATGCTCTACTAAGTACTAAAGATACTTACCATAAAGAAGTTGAATAATTCTGAGACTGGAAAAGTCATTATAAGTTGCATTTTCAGTGGAATTTGGGGAAAGCACTTAAAGCATTCGTTGTGTTGAGCTTTTCCAATTGCTTTTGTTTTATTTGTTCATTTAGATAGCAGAATATATAAACTTCTAAAACAAGTTAACATCAGCCAGGGAAGGTGTGGCTAGGGCTTCATAAAGAGAAGCAAAAGTGATTTGAGCAGTAAGACTGCATTGGGGAATGATCTATACACCAAAACTGCTTCATTAAAAGACCACTATAGTGCCAAACTGCTTCATTAAAGGACCACTATAGTGCCAGGAAAACATACTTGTTTTCCTGGCACTATAGTGCCCTGAGGGTGCCCCCACCCTCAGGGTCCCCCTCCCGCCGGGCTGGATGGAGAGGAAGGGGTTAAACTTACCTCTTTCTCCAGTGCCAGGCAGGGATCTCTTCTCCGCCTCCTCTCCTCCTCTTCAGCCGCGCATGCACATTTAGCCAGTCCATAGGAAAGCATTCAGAATGCTTTCCTATGGACGCTCACCATCCTCCCAAGGCAATGACTTGTTTTGTATATTGCACATATTATATATATATTTTAAGCTGTACATAAAAAAGGCCCAGCAAAATTGAAGACTGTGCAATGCACAATTTAATGACTGACTGCAGGAAAATTGCTGTTATGTCTGCAGTCAGCGGAATAAACATACATTACAGCAGTTATTGGAAGAATCACCACTTCTTAGACTTGCATCTAAAAAAATTATTTTTTAATATAAGTATATTTAAGTACATTTATATAAATAAGACACAGAGATCTATGTTTATTTTTCTTATTTAAAATTTATTAAAACATTTTTATTTTAAATGGAGTGTAGTAACATACACTACTTCTAACAGAACTGTGAAACTTGGCGTTAGTTCAGGAGTTTTCTAAAAGGCCTAGGTTTCTGCTAGCTGGCTACTGCTGGATTAAATCTCTAATAATGTTTAAAGAATGGAGGGCTGTCAGCGAAATTTAGATTTATTTTATTTGTTATATATATATATATAGTAGGTATTCAGATACCAGTTTGCTAACTACAATTCCCATGAAGCTTAGCAAGTCAGAAAATAATGTGTGGATTGCAAAGATGGATTCCTGATTTTGTATAGCTTGATGTACAGCTAGTGGAATATATATCAGCTTTCCATGAAGACTGCAGTTATACAGCCCTAGTTTAACACTCTGCAATTACACTGGGGATCTCTCTTTGTTTTGTAAAAATAAATACACCTAAATCATAGAACAAAATTTAATGAAGGGAATGTCACATTGAGGATCATCATTTTTATCAATGAATACATCTACCTAAAAAAGGAGACTGAAGGAGCACAGAGGGTAGCATAATTTATTAATATTGCACTATATGATGAGATTCTACAGAGATTTTTAAAACACTCATTTTAAAAAGGATCTCATCAGAAGTTAGGCAATACAGTCACTATTTTTTTTAGGGTGGATAACAAAGGCATTTACTGTCAGGAACTCACATAACATTTTTGGCCAAAGTAGCGAGCTTGGAGAATTTTTCATAAAATGTAAAATTCACTTTGAACTCCCAACATATCAAACACATAATGAATAATATTCTGTTATTGATTTAAGCGAGGAGATCCATACAGAAACACATTAAGGAAGGGGTAGGCCAAAACTGTAAATTTCTCAGTTGCTAGAACTACCATTCCGATGATGCATTGCCAGCCCTAAGGCTAAATCTTTAAGCCACGTATTAAACTGCCAGCCAACCAGAGCCTGAAATGCTTTTATGCCAATCAACCTGAAACTGGGCAGTGTGTGAGGCACTCTGCATAAGGCGAGTTAAAAAATGTAATGCATTAATTTTGAGTTTTGAATAATGTGATTCCTTGACATCCGTGATTTGTCTTTTTATATTATTTAAATGTACCCGTTATGAAGTCAAATGACAATCTCTACTATAGCATAGCACAGTAAGAAAATATATTTATTTTAAAATAGCAGTATTTTATTATCCACCATAACAACTAGAGAAAAACTGTCCATTATACAAAGTTAATGCAGTATTTATTTCCTATTCACATGATGAATGTACAGAACTAATGCCAGGAAACCCAATCCTCGTTAGCAGTGTTGCCATGCAATGAATCACTCCTCAGTCCATAGTACCGTGGATTTGTGTCTGTGTGTACTAGTGACCTCATCCGTCTATTGATGACACAGTGCAGTCAAGAGGGAAATTAATTGCCAAAAGGACAGGAAAGGCAAATAATATTTCCCACAGAACTGATTTATAGCATTTGCAAAACAATGATTTTTTTTGATAAATCACTTTCAAGTCTGAAATCAGCAAATGTGTGTTTGCCTAATAACCTAGTTGCTCCCAAATGGCACGTGAGAGACATGTTGTATATCTGCCAATCTCTGATTAATCCCTGATCTGATATGAATGTTGGAACCATAGCACTGTGTACTTGAATTTTCAATGGGGCTTACGTCACAGTTAAGCAAAGTAACCATGACAGAATACAGCCACAGCCAGCAAAATTATAGCGTTGGCATTGGCTATGTTCTTCCACAATGGTTTCTCACTGGTGTCTGTCATCTTCGCCTCCAAGGCTGCCTTCTCCTCCTCAGTTAATTTTTGAGGCTTTTTATCTTCAAAACCACAGAACCAGTTGTAAGATTTCTTCCAGCAACTGAGCTTCTTTGTCTCTGTGTTAGAATAAGAAAGGATTTGGTCATAGTGAAACACATCTAGATAAACACCTGACCACTTCTACTGATATAAAATACATACTTTGAAGAACATGGCTGGACTATCTGACAAGGTGTGCTGATAGCTATTATCATCTCTTTACTATCCCAGTGCTCGGCTGCTTGGTATACAAAGTTAGGGTTCAGCAAGTGGTGGGCTGGACACATACGAGTTTTCTCTCTTTCCATTCCCTTCCCCATCTTTATCTTTTCTCTTGGTTTTCCTTTCATCTTGCTGTCCCCTCACCCCACCCAGCCATTTGCATAGACTTGGAATTCTAGACTGAGACACAACTAAATGCTTCACACTGAGCTCTGGAATCATGCATGAATCTAGATGATGTCAGTAAATATTACACTCTAAAATGTTGATACATAATGTCCAGACTTCTCTGTGACTTATTCTGCGGTGGTGAATGTTAATTCTGTGCGTTATTGGCATAGCATGCTGGCAACAGTATTTATTTTATTTTTATTGTTCCTTATTTATTTTACAAGCTTTTTTTTCATTATTGAGAACAAGAAGGCACAAAGCAGTCACCATTAATACATTAAACTGCAGTTGTCTTCACTTAGTTTGATCTCTCGGTGGTTCTCCCTTACACATACTACTTGCTAGGAAAAGAAGTCAGGTCTGCACCACTTATACCCAGTGGGCTGCCTGTCGGTAATTCTGCAGCATTTACCAATCCATTCTGAATGAAGAAACAAGTGCAGCATTGGCATAGAAAATAGCAGTTCCACACCAAAGCAAGAGTCTGTTCTTCCACGGTCCCAACATTGTTCTCAGAATATTGATGAACAATAACAGTCAATTAAGTAAAAGCATACTTCGCATTGATGCTAAATCTCAATTAATCTGGTGAAATGCTTTAATATTATTATTGCCATAATTATTAGTCATGTGCCCGGAGGGAAAAACGGCCTGGTTTTGGTAATAACATAATTAGGTAATTATCAATTAAGAACGATCGGTAGTTTGGTCGAAAATATTTGAAAACATTTGATGTTTGGATGTTTGTTATTCCCTGTAGTGCACTGTTTAATAGGTAGTTCCCTAATTTGGCACTCTTATTTGGGACCTACAGTGCACACAACTGTGTGCATGTATGGGCGAGTAAAGGTATGAACACTTGGTTAAATGACAATGTATGTGACAGTGTGCACCCAGGGCTTAATGACGGCATATGTGACAGCGGACATGCATGTGTAAATTACAGTGTATATCACTGTGTGTATCTGTCATTAAGAAACAGTGTGACAGTGTATGTATGAGTAAATAGATGTGTATATAACTGTGTGAATAAGCAAATAAGAGTGTGCACGCATGGACAAATAACTGCATGCATGGTTTAATAGCAGTGTTAGGTGACAGTATGCATGGGTAAATGAACGTTTTTATGACGGTGTGTATCTATGGGTAAATAGTTAAAGGACAGTGTGACAGTATATGTATGGGTAAATTATTGTGTATATGACTGTGTGTGTATTGGGTAAATGACAGTGTGTGTGACAGTGTGCACTACTAAACAGTGCTCTATTTCTGTATCCTTAATAGGGCAGTCCCACCTAAGGGTACAAATTTAGAGAGCTATCTACTAAACAGTTCCCTCATTTAGTATAATTAAATAAGGCAATACTACATAAGGCTACCAACTTAGGGAGGATCTGCTAAACTGTGCCTTAGTTTGGTATCCTTAAATACAGCAATCCCATATAAGGGTACCAAGTTAGGGATCTGTATACTAAACAATGCTCTAATTTGTTATCCTTAAATAGGGCAATCCCACATAAGGGTACACAATAAGAGAGCTACCTACTAAACAGTACCCTAATTTGGTATCTTTAAACAAGGCAATCCAGCTTAAGGTTACCAAATTACTTAGCTATATACTAAACAGCAAAAATAAGAAAAGCCCTTTTTCTTAAATTTGCTCTTTCCATTGCTTCCTAGATAAGTCCTTAATTTGGTATCCTTAATTATGGCAAAGATAAGGATAGGATAACAAATTAGGGAGCTATCTACTAAAAAGCCCATTTCTTAATGTTGCTGTTTCAATTACGTAATAGAAAAGTCCCTAATGTGCTATCCTTATGAAAACTAATACATACAAAACATTCATTCTAAAATCTTTCATATCAACTTCTAATAATTTTTATGATAAATCCAAAAACTTTCATAGATGATAAGAGTGGTCCTTTGTTCAAAACACACTTCTATTTTTTGACGAGTACTCACCTCCTTTTTCAATCTCATCTTCTATTTCCTCAACCCAGTCATTGGCATCAAGATCTTCTCTTTCCTCCTTGCTGTTTCTCAGGGACCAGCACAGTCGGTAAAGCTGGAAAATAAAGTCATGAGAAATGTCATGTCACAGTGTTACATGTTGAAGACCTACATACACATCTGATATGTCTATAACTTCTATTACTGCAGCTAAGAATGTAATCCTTAAATGAATCATACCATGTTCACAATAACTTGAGTTCTGCTCAATTATGTTAGTTGTATTTTTTGTTCGATCCAAAGCCAATATGTTTCATGTTTGGTAAAACGTAATTGTAATATGCAGTGAAAAAAAAGACATGGCAGCAAAAGGCCAACTTGTGTCGCAAAGTAGACCTAGAAATTGGCACATGAGGTTAATAACATGTAATGTATATCTAGGTGTGTGCATATCTGTTGGTTTCTGTACACATACATGGGTATTTATATCTTTGTTCATAAAGCAAAACTTCAAAGCTGCACTCTGATGAAGTGCCAATAAAGTACGAAATGCACAAGCGTCATCTGCAAGTTGTCTTTCCCCTTTTGTTGGGTCCCGGCCTGGAATTCTAATGGTGGAATATAGATATAATTTGTGTAATTTCAGTTACGGTTTTGGATGTTTTTCTCTCCATGAAAGTTTGGCTTTAAAGTTTTGCAGGAATAGAACCTGCCAATGCCCTCTAGCGTTATCTGACTTACTGTATTTATGTTATAATTTATCCTTGGCAACTTATCTTTACCTAATGCATAGGGATGTGCATGGGCAAAGAATTCGGTTCAGAAATTCGGCACTTCGGAACTTGTGGTGGTAGTCCTGGCACTGGGAGGCGAAAAAGCCCTTTAGGTGTGTAAGTGGTTGTGGTGGCAGTCCGGGCACTAGGAGGCCGGAGCCTTATAGATGTGTAAGTTATTGTGGTGGCAGTCCGGGCACTGGAAGCCCTATAGATTTGTAAGTGGCTGTGGTGGCAGTCCTGCCAGTGTTAAATGGGAGCCCTATAGATGTGTAAGTGGTTGGGGTGGCAGTCCTAGCAGGGGGCTCCCAGTGCCAGGACTGCCACCACAACCACTTGCACATCTGTAGGGCTCCCAGTGCCCGGACTGCCACCACAATCACTTACACATCTATAGGGCTCCCAGTGCCCGGACTGCCACCACAACTACTTACACATCTATAGGGCTCCCGCCTCCCAGTGCCAGCACTGCCACCAAAACCACTTACACATCTATAGGGCTCCCGCCTCCCAGTGCCAGATATTCAGAACTTCGGCAATTCGGTACTTTGGGCATTCGTAAGCATCCGAATGTCCAAATTGCACGAAATTCGTCCGAATATACATTCGGAACAAACCGAATAGCACATGTCTACTAATACATATCTTTGTGTGCTATTCTGTGGGATCCTTCTCCAAACCTACACAATATAGGCCAGGAAAGAGGGTGCAGTTTCCTTGCTATATCAATATAATGGGGTGCTGTCACTTGTCTGGAATTTATACAACTTAATAAACAAATTACTTGTGTTAACCTTTTTTTCATGATATGCTCTGTTTTCTTCTTTTATTATTCTTTCTTATTCTTTATTGTATTTGTTCTGGTGAGTATAATCGTTGCCTTCAGGCTTTTTCTAGTGAACACCCACACTGTCTTTTCAAAATGCAGTATTAACATTACAGCCTAGTGATAACTCCAGTACTACCATTCAGTGTCTCCACCCTGTGCATGCAGACACTGAACTTTCCTCAGAGAGATGCATTGATTCAATTAATCTCTAAGAGGAGATGCTGATTGGCCAGAGCTGTGTTTGACTTGTGCTGGCTCTGCCCCTGATCTGCCTCCCTGACAGTCTCAGCCAGTCCTATGGGAAATCATTGTGATTGGCTCTGAGAATCACTTCTAATGATGTCAGCCTAGCAGGCAGATCAGGGGCAGATGCAGACTGGAACACAAGTACAATTTTACTATATTTCGGGAGGCAAGGGGGGGGGGGATCAGGTGAGCTAGATGGTGGTTTTAACACCATAGTGTCAGGAATACATGTTTGCGTTCCTTACCTTAAAACTATTCCTTTACTTCAGACAAGGCAGGGCAAAGATTGCCAATTAGGAGATGAAATAGAAACGTTGTTTCACTCTTCTCTGTATGTTTTCTCTATGCAAGGGACATCGGTTATAACAATAATAGACAGGGAGCTAAGATGGGGGTGCCCAGTTGTGTGGGTAAAATTTACATTTATTTTTCACAGCTCACAAACATGTATTTGCTAATTATAGGGATAGGTAAGTCAGAAAATATCATCATGCTAAAACATGGCCTAAACCATGGTTTCAAGATTAAAAGATTATTTCAACCACCATAACCCATTTCTGCTTTTAGAAGTGGTCATGGTGGGAGCATTCTGTAGGTGCTTAAAACTGTACATAGTGAGAAATATGCACTTTTGTGTCCGAGACTAGTTAAACCCCTGGCACAAGTGACCTAGGCAATCGGGACTCTGTTGCAGATTGCCTAATATATATTCCTATGCAAAGAGTACATATGTCGTCAGCGAGCAAAGTAGAGTAGATAGAAAGTTACAATTAGATTATGGGTGACTACACTTGTGATTTCCAATGCATTTTATAGGCTGGCTTAAGATTCAAGTTTCACAGTGATCAAAAAGAATATATACAAATAAGTCTACAAGTCCAATATAGGATCGAAGGATTTTTTTAAATCTCATTTCATTTCATTATGGATCCATTTTGGTTTATAAGTTGTGCGGAGTCATTTCCCAGGATTGCTGATGATAATAAGAGCACAAGGACTTCTGCTAAGGTATGTTAGTAAATGTATATTAAGCATTTTGATAATAAAGTCCAGTTAATACATACATTTTTATCTGGGATGGGTTTGGTAATTAATGATACGCCCACGACGATGATACTGGTGCAAACAAACAGTATGATAGCAAAATAGAGATAGTGCACTCCACATATGATTTTTGGGCAGTTGCTAGGTTTGGCACAGCTTCCAGATCCATAGGAAAATATTGCAATCATTCTTGCTAGTCCAATAAGTAGTCCAATGATTAATCCCCAGAAAGCTCCCTATGGCAGAAATAAAAGAGTTAGGATCAGAAATTACTAAATTATAGTCTAACTACTGCATACTAGTGGCATACTAATGGTCAGGAAAAAGACTGTGATGTCTATTCGCTAAACAAGGAATTTTAGAGAAATGGCATAGGGAACAGCAAATTCTAGGCCAAACGTTTAGCTGCAAAATTCTGCAACTGAATTGTTATTCCAAATAGATTATTTTAAGATTTGCATTGCAATTCCTTTGCCAGATTACCACAATTAATAAATCATTTTTCTTGTTTTGGTCTAGGGAGATGACAATATTTTATGGGACATTGTAGGCACTGTAACTGCTTCATCTCATTGAATTACGGAACCTGTCAATACCTATATTAGACATGCACATAGAGTGAATTGCATTGTGGGTGGTGGAGCAAAGCAGTGTGTGTGTATGTTCTTGGCACAAAGTATAAATAATAACGTTAACTTCTAATCATTATATACCAGTATTTATCGGCGTATAACACGCATCGGCGTATAACACGCACCTCATTTTAAGAAGGAAATTTCAGGGAAAAAAAACTTAAAGGACCACTATAGTGCCAGGAAAAGGTGCCTTTCTACTCCCCCCTCTTCTTACCCCGTTCTTACTCCCCCACTCTTCTTACCCCACACTCCCTCTTCTTACCCCCCTCCCCCTTTCTTACTCCCCCCTCCCCCTCTCTTACTCCCCACTCCCCCTTCTTACTCCCCCCTCCCCCTCTATTCACCCCCTTCTTACCCCCCTCCCCTGTAGCGTGGCCGAGCCGCTCTGCTGTCCGCGGTGGCCGGCCGGAGTGATAGGAAGGTGCACGCTCAGTGTGCACCTTCCTGTCAGTCCGACCGGGTACAGGAAACAGAAACTCCTGTTCCGCTACAGGGGAGGTGAGTACCAACTGCAGCCGCCTGAGCGGCTGCAGTATTTAAAGGGCCGGCGTATAACACGCACCCACAATTTTTCCCCTATTTTCAGGGAGAAAAAGTGCGTGTTATACGCCGATAAATACGGTAATTTACAATGTAGTAACACATCATAAATAGACCAAGTTAAGTTAACTGAAAAAAAAGTGCACATTTTAGGCCAAAACAACTTCCATTATGATGGTGTTGGAGAATGTTTTCAAATCAACTGTTTTAGCCTACATTCTACCATTTAACATTGAATTCATAACAAAAGGTGCAGTTTTACATCATTCTTTGTATTGCATTAAGGGAATCAACACAGTAAAGGAGGAGACTATATTTAAAAGAGACTATATTTAAAAGAAAAACTACCACAACAAGAGGACATAGTCTTAAATTAGAGGGGCAAAGGTTTAAAAATAATATCAGGAAGTATTACTTTACTGAGAGGGTAGTGGATGCACGGAATAGCCTTCCAGCTGAAGTGGTAGAGGTTAACACAGTAAAGGAGTTTAAGCATGCGTGGGATAGGCATAAGGCTATCCTAACTATAAGATAAGGCCAGGGACTAATGAAAGTATTTAGAAAATTGGGCAGACTAGACGGGCCAAATGGTTCTTATCTGCCGTCACATTCTATGTTTCTATGCTAGATCCAGCTATAATGCGTTCATTTCCCTGAACAGAAACAATATATGTTAAGGTGCACTAAAACATATAAATTGGTGGTATTGCACCTTAAAGTTCACTGCTTTTGCTCATCTTCCTAAGTTGTGTTTCAAAGCTGTTATATACCGCAAACACATACTCCAAGGAATCCATGTATAAAGTGGAATCATGAGGCAAAAATGTGGTTCTTTGTTGAGCTCATTTGCATACGCCTACCCAAAATCCCTTGCAGTAATGAGAGCACTGTTAAAGTGAGATTTCTGTGGGAAAAGCAAGTCTTATGGCTTGACTGGTGTGTGTATTTGTGTTTAGCTATGTATTAACTATCCACTTACTTCAGGTGGAAGGGGTTTCATGCACACTTTTTTCCCCACCACAACTTGTGGTGTGTATGTGTATTGCATTTACAGTCATCACAAACAAAATGTTACTTTGTTAGGAACATCAGTCAGTTGAGCTAAATGGCTTTTGATCATGTTTTTACAATCTTGATTTGGAAACTCACCTGCTCGTTCACTCTCTTAATAAATACTGCAAGGAAGAAGACTGAGGCAATGGGTGGCCCCAAGTAGCTGGTAACAGATTGTATATAATCAAATAACTGTCCACTCTCTGAAGACTGCAGAATGGGGATCCATGCAATACTCACACCAATCAAGAAAAGGATAAAAATTCTGCAATGAAAATATGAACAACATGAGCACTTTGAGGCCAGCAAGCAATAAAGCAAACACCCACTAAGGAATTACGCTGTTATGAGAACCTCCCGTATGTAGAAGAGAATTGCTTCCAAGCAACTAAAATAAAGTGCAGTAATTGCACATCATGAACATCTGTCAGTCATAAAGCATTTCACATAGTCTGCTATGCTCTGTTCAGATTCTTCAAAACATGATGATTGTACGTGTACAGGTGATGGGTAAGTAATTCAGCATTTCTCACCTGCCCGCTATCATCAACTCTTTTTCAGTTGCCTTCTTCCTGATCTTGGTGTAAATATCCATGGTAAACAAGGTGCTAGCACTATTAAATATGGAAGTCAAGGAACTCATGAGAGAAGCCAACATCACAGAGAGCATCAGACCTCGTAGACCTGAAGAGTAACACAGTATAAAAAGTTACAAATCTTTTTTACAGGAACAATCTGAAATTAAAATAAATAAAAAAATATATAAAATTAATCCAGTTTTGAAAGTAACAGATCAGAACATCTGCATAAACCACATATCTCAACTTAATCGCTTAACCATCATCCAAGTACCATTGGAAATTAAACTGAGAAACCTAATTAAAATTTAAAAAAATAAATAAATAAAGGGTCAGTTGAAGCAACATCCTAGTTTTGCCGTATTGCAAAGTTAATGATATAAGGTTAATGGGGGCACCTTAAATGGCTTAGAACTGCAGTGATTTGTAAAAAATACACGACAGCTCTACGCCAGCCCACAAACCTGTCAGTCATACACTCTCAGTGCCGGAGAGTGCAATTCTGATCATTTAAGCCAAAGGGGATTGGGGGTGGAGCCAGCGCTGGCACACCTGCGCGGCGCTGTAAAAAAGGTGAGTTTTTTAATTATATTTAAGGGGGGTAAGAGGGATCCAGGGACCCTATAAGTTTCTTTTAACACTATAGGGTCAGGAATACATGTTCTTATTCCTGACCCTATAGTGTTCCTTTAAATCTTTTGCATTTGAAGGTTAAAATCGAGTTCAGTCCAGGCACAGTCAGAGCACACATAATATTGGAAAAGTAGAAACAGAAACAAGTATTTTTTTCTTCTGTTCTTTCTATGCTGACTGGAAGTAGCAAAGGGCAAGAGTTTATAACAATGATTGACAGGGATCCAAGATAAGGCACTCAGTTCCAGGATATAGGTAAATACTGCAATTTTGGTTTGTAAAGTTTATTTTATGTTTCAATCCTCACAAACACATATTTGATGAATATAGGTGGTAAATAAATGTAAGATTAAAAAATCCTGCGAAGTGGCAGTTTACCTTTAAGAATCCAATTAGTAATAAAGGGAATATATTGGGCATATATTTGGTAACAGAACATGTCTTACCATCTGGCATCAGGTCTATCACAATTTTGGGATATGCAATATTAGTACATCCAACTTCTGCGTCACATATTCTTTTACATTCAGCTGGCATGACACAAAGTACCTCATCTGACAAGAGAATACAGAAGATCATCTTATATACCATTCACAATTTGTGTTTTTAGAAGATACCCTTACTGGATTTGTCTTACCTGTGTACAAGATACGGCTAATCATTCCTGGGAACACCATCAGAAACATAGGCAGAAGTTTAAGATATCCACATAGGATACATCCAGCCTTAACATGGGACATATTTTTGGCAGAAAGGCACCGTTGAACAATCACCTATCATGGAAAACCACAACCATATAAGACTCATGTGACCTGTATGCATCCAGTATGTTCTCAGAATATTCAGCCAAAATTGACTTACCTGATCAGTGCACCAATACCACAAAGCCAGGATAGTCATGCCAAAAATAAACCCAGGCCATGGTACATCCCCAGTTATCGGATCCCTAAAGAGGTGAAATGAGTCAGATCTGGGAGTGTAGCATTCCTTGGGAATCACAACACCATCATGGGAGACATTAGTAGGAATTGCGTTCATATATTTCTCCACAAAGGACTCATATCCTCCAACCTTGTTGAATGCTGCGAGAAAGACAAGATGCTGGTTACAATAATTCTAATAAAAGACAAAGATGTGTATGATATCTACTAAATAATGGGTTTAAAACTCCAAAGACAGCACTTTGTGTAATTATTAAAAGTGAAAGATCAGTGTGAGGTCAGGATGAGGAAGGAAGCACTAAGGTGAGTTACAGAAATGTATTGCTACCACCAACTTGTACACATTTGTTTGTAAAAATCTAATCATTTTGACCACTGCTTATTTACTTTATTTGTTGGATAAACATCTGGATGGATAGCTATTTGGCCAGATAATTGGATGTATTCCTGTGTCTTATGGATAGGAAGACCATTTGACTACTGAAGATAATGTAAATGTATCTTAAAACCACTCACAAGCTCCACTGAACCAATAGCGAGCCCCGGGCCTACACATATGGCACAAGCCAAGAACAAGCTAGCATGACTAGCTTAAGGTTCTTAAGCCAAAATAGAGGAGAGCTTGCAAAGGCTGAAGTCAGACGAACTGCAGAATGTGCAAATTATTTTTGATAAACCCCCAATGATTACATGTAGCAAAACAATGTATGCATGTATTCATTGGGGTATATCTACTAAATAGTGATTTACTTTTTTTTTTCTCTCTGTGTGTTGTCCTTTAAGGGATAAGGGGTAAGCTTTAGCATAAGCTATGAATATCACTATGTACAAAGTAAGTAAAATAACACACACATCTTCAAATACTTTTCATTTTCTATTCAATTGTATTGTTTTCTTTCACTTCAACAAAACAAATTATAATAAAACAAACAAATCAGACATACATTAACATATTTGGGCGCTAAACAAACAAGCAATTTCTGTTGAACTCACCAAATCCCATTAGTATAAATGATCCAACAAGCATGATGACTGTTTGCAGGGTATCTGTATAAATCACTGCTGCCAACCCCCCTAAACAGAGAGAGTACACAAGCTGTTAAAGGAGGTAGTATAAGAGAGGCAGAATGTATTAATGACATCCAACTGCCCTTTCTCCACGTTTCCCAGTCTGCACTGACATTCTAACACATTGTGCCGATCATCATTTACTACATCTCCCGGCTCACGTAATCTCCATTCTGACAACACTATGTTATTAAGGTTGGGGAAACTCAGAAAAGAGTCACAGACTTAAACTGATTTCCATGGTGATTGTCTAGAATGTTGTTCAGAATATGGCACTTTGATAAATCGCGAACTGTAGATTGGTCTGAGCAGATAGTACATTGCAAAAAGTTTCAACATCACAGAGGAACACATCAGTTTATAGCTCCTGCTTCCAAGGATGGGGTAGTGTGCAGATTTTAATGCCTCTCATATTTCCCACCTCTTAATGACACACCAAACAACAACCAACAAATACCAATAATAAACTAGTTTTTAAAAAAAAGCAGATACTTGTATGTGTCACAGTTTCTATGATTTTCTGTTAGGATTACCATTGTCATATTTTAGCACACATTTTCTTGCATACTTCTTTTCCCGCTGAGTTTACCACCTAATCATAGTAATGGAAGACACAATTGGTAGATGTATATATAGATATATATATATACAGTTAGCTCCATAAATATTGGGACATCGACACAATTCTAATCTTTTGGGCTCTATACACCACCACAATGAAATGAACAAGATGTGCTTTAACTGCAGACTTTCAGCTTTAATTTGAGGGTATTTACATCCAAATCAGGTTAACGGTGTAGGAATTACAACAGTTTGTATATGTGCCTCCCACTTTTAGAGGGACCAAAAGTAATGGGACAGATTAACAGTCATAAATCAAACTTTCACTTTTAAAAAACATGGTTGCAAATCCTTTGCAGTCAATTACAGCCTGAAGTTTGGAACGCATAGACATCACCAGACGTTGGTTTTCATCCCTGGCGAAGCTCTGCCAGGCCTCTACTGCAACTGTCTTCAGTTCCTGCTTGTTCTTGGGGCATTTTCCCTTCAGTTTTGTCTTCATCAAGTGAAATGCATGCTCAATCGGATTCAGGTCAGGTGATTGACTTGGCCATTGCATAACATTCCACTTCTTTCCCTTAAAAATCTCTTTGGTTGCTTTTGCAGTATGCTTCGGGTCATTGTCCATCTGCATTGTGAAGCGCCGTCCAATGACTTCAGAATTCATCCTGCTGCTTTTGTCAGCAGTCACATCATCAATAAATACAAGAGAACCAGTTCCATTGGCAGCCATACATGCCCACGCCATGATACTACCACCACCATGCTTCACTGATGAGGTGGTATGCTTTGGATCATGAGCAGTTCCTTTCCTTCTCCATACTCTTCTCTTCCCATCACTCTGTTACAAGTTGATTTTGGTCTCATCTGTCCATAGGATGTTGTTCCAGAACTGTGAAGGCTTTTTTAGATGTTGTTTGGCAAACTCTAATCTGGCCTTCCTGGTTTTGAGGCTCACCAATGGTTTACATCTTGTGATGAACCCTTTGTATTCACTCTGGTGAAGTCTTCTATTGATTGTTGACTTTGACACACATACACCTACTTCCTGGAGAGTGTTCTTGATCTGGCCAACTGTTGTGAAGGGTGTTTTCTTCACCAGGGAAAAAATTCTTCAGTCATCCACCACAGTTGTTTTCTGTGGTCTTCCGGGTTTTTTGGTGTTGCTGAGCTCACCGGTGCGTTCTTTCTTTTTAAGGATGTTCCAAACAGTTGATTTGGCCACACCTAATGTTTTTGTTTTCTCTCTAATGGGTTTGTTTTGTTTTTTTCAGCCTAATGATGGCTTGCTTCACTGATAGTGACAGCTCTTTGGATCTCATATTGAGAGTTGACAGAAACAGATTCCAAATGCAAATAGCACACTTGAAATGAACTCTGGACCTTTTATCTGCTCCTTGTAAATGGGATAATGAGGGAATAACACACACCTGGCCATGGAACAGCTGAGCAGCCAATTGTCCCATACTTTTGGTCCCTTGAAAAGTGGGATGCACATATACAAACTGTTGTAATTCCTACACCGTTCACCTGATTTGGATGTAAATATCCTCAAATTAAAGCTGAAAGTCTGCAGTTAAAGCACATCTTGTTCATTTCATTTCAAATCCATTGTGGTGGTGTATAGAGCCAAAAAGATTAGAATTGTATTGATGTCCCAATATTTATGGACCTGACTGTATATATCTTTATTAAGATGTCTATGTATGTCTATATTCATAGGATTAGTTTCTGCAGCCATCCCAACCTCCCTTCCCTTTTGTCACCGCGCACAGACTATCCTGATCGTGCTGGACATTTTACAAGTAGAGGCTTCTCATTTAAAAAGTCATGCATGCATGTAACTGGCCAATCATGCCGCCCTGCCTGCTGTCAATCAGCATGCAGCAAAACACGTTTTCACCATTACCTGCCAATAGTGACGGTTATGCACTATATGTGAATTAATATGTCCCCTGTGCGAAAGAAAAAGGTCATGATAAAGATGTTTCAAAATAAACTAGTGTTTTGACCTTTTTGTAGTTCTATTTCAAGGTAACCAAGGTACGTATTTCCAACTAGATTTGTGTGATATGAACAATAGAATTATAAGACTGTGTCCTGTCATTAAAGATTTTAGAACTTTACCATCAGAATAAAATTATATCAGAGGGGAGACCCAAGATACCAAAAGCAAGGCACTCTGCGTGGGTGAGCTAGGGTAATTTAAGATAAGTTACTATGATAATGTGTCTTTGATACTTGCTCAGGTCAAGTGCAATTCCTCCTTATCAACATTTGCTATTAAATGACGCCAATTTGAACACTCTATGTACTCTAATTCCCTGGATACAGCATTTTCCTGGTAACATATTTTTGTTTTGTAATCACTCACTCAGGTATGACTAAATCCTACCTGGAACTCATCACATTGATCTTTTGCTTGAAGTAAACAAGGAAATCTAGTAGCCATGTGCAATTTGTTTCAGTCCAAATAAAAATTCGGCCGAATTTCGGGTAATTCGGACATTGTGGTGCTTCCAAATGTCCGAATAGCTGAATTGCCAAAGTGATGAAATTTCCGAAGTGTAGTAGCGCCGAATTGCTGAAGTGCCGAAGTTCCGAGGTGTCAAAGTGTCGAAGTTCCGAAGCACAGTATTGCCTAAGTACTAATATACATACCCAGTGAAAGAAGAAGCATGTTACATTGTATACAATTTCAAATAAAAAGTATACAAACATTGCCAGGATTCAGCTGTAAGCGTTTGCAACACTTACAACAATCAAGTAACACACATTCATATAAAATGTAAGTTACTTAGCCAGTCATGTAATGACAGGAATGAATAAGTAGATAACTCCCTAATTTCCATGGTATTAGGGAGCTATCTACTAAAAGGCTAAAAGACCTGAATTGGTCTTTCAGCCAAATTTACTAATACTAAGTAAAGATTACTTAGTATTAGTAAATTAAGCTCCTACTCGCTATTTTGCGAGTAGGGGCATGTCTATTAAAAAGTGAGCAGCCTGTGGCTGCTCACTGTAAAAAAAAAAAAAAAAAAAGTCCCCCCTCCTGATTGGTGGATTAAGTAACCAATCAGAGTGTTATGAGTCAAATTACACAGCGTGGGAAAATTCCAAAGAACTTTCCCACGCTGTGTAAAATGACACAGAGCACTATGATTGGTGGATTTCAAACCAACCAATCAGAGTGCTGTGACAGGTAAATGTAGAGACCTGTCAGTCTCTTCATTTACCTGTCAGAGCATTCTGATTGGATGGCTTAAACCCATCAATCAGAGTGCTCTGAGCCTAATTGCAGGGCGGGGCAAGGCTTTATAAGCCTTCCCCTGCCCTGCAGAGCTCAGTCTGCGCGGAGCCCTCGCCGGGTGAAGATTATTTTTTTTAGCGCTCTGTTTTTTTTTTTGTTTTTTTTTTAATTGCGTCGCTTATTATGGATTTTTATTTGGCCTTTTTGGGGGCAAAATGTACTAATACTAAGTAATTTTTACTTAGTATTAGTAAATTTGGCTGAAAAACCCATTAAGGTCTTTCAGCCTTTCAGTAGATAACTCCCTAATACTGTGGGAATTAATTAAGGGAGTTATCTACCAAGCAGCTGCAAGAGAAGTCCCAAAATGCCAGAGTTCCGAAGTGTCTAAGTTCCGAAGTGCCGAATTGCCGAAGTCCCGAATTGACGAAGTGCCTAAAATCTAGTTACAGACCTGGCTGAGAATTTACAAAACTTTGCTTTTTATTTAAGTTCCTCACACCACGGTGTTGTCCTTTTTTTTTTACTTTAAATTATTTTTTTTTGTCCAGAATCTCACAAGTGAAATATAAAGTGAAGGCATGCTGTAGGACAATGTACAACAGAGCTTTACAGTGGTGGTCAGTATGGGTACATTGTAACAACTATATATAAAGGTGCATAGTGGAAGGAACAAGTTAATTATACAGTAATAGTCTGTATGATGAGTCTGCAGAGCTCAGCCTACCTGTAACAGTGTATAAAGCTGTGATAAGAAGCAGCATAACGATGGCAATGTAGATGTTGATCCCCATGGCCTGCTGGATAAAAATGCCTCCTGAGAACATGTCAGCCTGCAATCAAAGGACAATTCTGAGATCAGGGATGCTTGGGGCAAGAAAGCATTATCATAGCACATTTGCATTAATGATTTTTGCAAAGAATATGATGTGAAGTTAGCAATCAGCATATGATTTTGTCTAATTTAAAAGATCTGTTAGTGTTATCTGTGTTAAAATTGTCCCTCGTAAAAAAGAACGGTAAGATGCAATAAATGTCAGTGAAACATTTCTGAATGGTAGAACATAAGATAGACTTACAGATATCTTGGTGAAGACATAGAGAAGCAGAGACAGGACAGATAAATAAACCCGTATCCGGTCACCTCCAAACCGCTTCCTTAAATATTCTGGCATTGTCACCACCTGTGGACAGACACAGAGAATGGAACACTCATTAAAAGACGTTAGCAAGTAGCGGATGTGCCCATATTGCTAAATCCTACCATAAGCGATTAGCAGTTCCTTGCTGGCAAGACTTTGACCAGCTCCAATAGAGAATAATAGCTGACACTGAGCGTAAATTAACAAATCATTTCAATGTTAGTCAATAAGTTTTACTCGCTGACACTATCTCTCCACGTTTACAACCTGCCTCAAGTTAGTGTAAGGAATGGATTCCAGTTAAAGGACAATTGTCACCTCAAAACTATAATATTTTAATAATTCTTATATCAAGTTTTGAAAGGAATATGCATATTTAAAAAAAATAATTAAGAATATGTATGAAAATGAGAAACTCATCACTACCTTTAGAATCCTTCATCCATGTACATGCACATTGGGTCAGACAGTGTCTGAAAACCGACAGTTAGTTTCGATGGTCTTCTCTATTTCGCTCCCTGCACAGAAGCTGGGAAGACTAACTGTCGGTTTAAAGAAACTGTACAGCTTAAGATGCGTGTATATGGCTGAAGGATCTGTTACATGCTAAAGGTAGAGATGAAGGTTTCTCATTTTCATACTTATAATTCTACATATATATATATATATATATATATACCTATGGTATATAGAAGCACGGGCTGCACTCATGGTCTTTGCATTGAAAGATTCTTTGTTCCATTAAGTGAAAGAGATCTCTTTCACTTAATGGAATAAAGAATGTTTCAATGCAAAGACCGTGAGTGCAGCCCGTGCTTCTATATACCATAGGTGTTTATCTACATCCCAATAAGGACTGGCACCCGGCAAGTATACTAAATGCTTTAATGCACAATAATTTTGAGCGTGAGTGCAAGGATTTGAATATTATTTTTATTTTATATATATATGGTATATATTGTATACTTTGATATATAAAATACAATGTGATGAAAGGATTATTTTATGAAAAATATTTTTGAGGTGAAAGTTGTCCTTGAATAATCACAAACCCCCATACCTCATAAAGACCGACATGGGTGTTGCTAGGTTACACAAACACCTAGGGCGTCAGACTAAAGGAAAGTACGATGATCCCTACACCCACAGTAAGGTTCTTATTATGTCCCCGTTTCCTATTATGCCCCCTTATCTTTTATGTCCTGCCTTTCTTATTAAGTCCCCATCTCTCTATCCATGAACAGCATGCTACAGATCCTCCAGGATCTCAATGAAAGCATAGCTGGAAACAACCACATGCTGCACAGCAAAGTATTCAATGTGATCCCACCATGCTGCCTCACTAATAGAGGGGTGTAATTGCTACTCAAACTGCATTTACTTCACAGTACCAGAGCTGGAATGCCAGCGGTAGGCCTTAAAAGCTAGTTTTCCACTTATTCTTATAGCTCAATATTTGGTGTTTTTTCCAACCATATGTACATGGTATACTTATACATTTATATTTTATATGTTTTATTTGTTTTATATGTGCTTATACATTATGAAATAAAAATATTTTTTAATACTTAATAATACTGTTGATAAAGTGTTAGGGTCATTCCTAGCCTTCATTCCTGTAATCTTATGACAAATCATTTGTTTGCACCAGCTGTTGTGGCAATGCAAACCTGCTTGTTAAATCTTTGCACAAACAAAATAAAGAATTACATATATAAAAAAAAAAAACAATAATAATATCAGGAAGTATTACTTTACTGAGAGGGTAGTGGATGCATGGAATAGCCTTCCAGCTGAAGTGGTAGAGGTTAACACAGTAAAGGAGTTTAAGCATGTGTGGGATAGGCATAAGGCTATCCTAACTATAAGATAAGGCCAGGGACTCATGAAAGTATTTAGAAAAATGGGCAGACTAGATGGGCCGAATGGTTCTTATCTGCCGTCAAATTCCATGTTTCTAATTCCCTCTAGCTGTATAAACAAATAAATGAAATTATTTAATTTAAAATGGGGATCCTGGACCCCAATAATTTTGGGTTCAGACTACTCCTCTCCTAACACCATGGGCTGCAAGAGTGAAGGATAATAAGTGTGAGGGCTAGGAGATGGTCAGTCTCTTGGCTCAGACGGGGTGGTTGATGGCAGATAGTCCTGATGTAACTGCTATGACAATTAATTGTTACCTTTTTCCCAATTAGCATAATAGTTAACTCTACATGGTGGTTGGTATCAGTTGAGGTAGACGTTAGTCTTGAGAAGACTTTAAAGATGAGGTGAAATTTGGAAACTCGTAGGTATTGCATGGATAGAAATAGGTACTGACTAATAACTGCAGCTTAGTTGATATTTACCGACACTGGAAACAAGTCCTGAGCTGGCAATCAATTTGTGAAATTTAGTCCAAAAAATTAATAGCCAAGAAGTATACTTTGAGACAGGGCTGTTGCTTGACAGGGTTGACCTGAGTGGGTTAGGGTTCAGAGATGCCCATGGTGCAGGTGGTTACATGGTATCGACAGACGCCACAATAGCGTATTACAAGCTTTCACAGTAGTCAGACAGTGGCATTATAATTCGCACAAATTTTATATTTTGCAAGCTTAACTAAACAGTTATTTCGTAAGAGTAAGATTAAATGAAATGAAATAGTGATGCTGGTTGCTTAATACTGCTAGGTCATCTATGCTAGTGTAGGTATGGTGTGTTAACTCGTTGTGTGGGATAGCAGTAGTTGGTTACACAATAATACTAAGTAATGCTTAGATACGTTATGCTGTATGAGGCATTGTATAATAGATAACATTGCTAAAACTTGCCTATATTGCATAATAACATCGCTTTTCACTACAAACATGGGTGACCATGGTCTGATTTTAACACGCTTTCATTGTTATTTCTGATTCCCATGTAACATTGAGATAGAAATAACACTTCCAAATACATAATATTTTGTGACAATGCCACTTTATCAGTGGACAACTTTTAAATTATACAGCATAGTGTTTAGATATTTCTGTGGGTGCAGGGTTACTGCTGTAAGTCTGAAGTTAAAAGGTTACTATTTTAACTTAATAATGCCTATTCATAAAATAGGTTAAAACTTGCCTGGAATCCAGCACCAGGCAAAGCTCCCCATGCCAGTTTGCAACCCCCTGGCCTGCCATCACACTGCGTCATAGAGAAGCATTTGGTTGGACCATTCGCTCTGAGCCAGGGATGGGAGGACAGCAAGCTTCCCCTTGCAGGCACACTTCCAGCATTGTTTACGAGGGGAGACACTGACGTCAGTCACCAGTGTACAGTGCGCACTGACATCAGATATATTTTTTGCATAGGATTGACATTAAGCAGCTCTGGAGCAGCATACTGGACTGCCTAATTCACATCTGCCAGGGGAACCAACTAGCTCCCAGCATTAAACTGCAAATATCTATGGATGAGTGATTTACAGAAAATTGGAAAAAGTTCCAAGGCTGGACACCGGATATTGCATAGGAAGGAGTTCTGAGAGATCTTAAGTCAATATATGGGAGAGACCATAAAATTGGCACTTGGGCTGAAGCCTCTGCTCTATTTTCCACCTAGAACCCTTTCATTGAGATTTATCTTGCAGTGAGTTGAGAATCTTCTTGCAAAATGTATGAACAGCCCAACTGGAAAAATCTCCTACTTGGTCAGGATGGAGTTTTTTTTCCCAATGAGGCTCCTTGTGTCTACCTTTTCTAAGTTAGCTCCACACAGCTTGCAGTTTGGTGACTCAAACCTTTTCACAATAACTCCTAAAAGCAGCACTGTCAATCCCCACCCCATCCACCCTTGCAAAATCACTATTTGATAAATAAGATAAAATCTTTATGAAATAGTCATGTTAAACATTTTACAAATTCCACAACAGTAGGGAATTCTTTGTCTCAGTATACTTCCTAAGTCTGACACTTCTAGAAACTGGTTGGAGCTACCATCGTCTAGAAGTGTCACTCTCCCAGCCATCACCAGTTCCGGCTGCAGAGATATTAGCTGTACACCAGTGATGGTGGTTCCAGAGAAGGACTAGTCGGAAGAAGATAGTAGCACCTGCGAGGGACAGGTTCAGGTAAGTACATCTTACTTTTCCCTTCCCTCCCTGGCCACGGGACCACAGAGGCAATGTCCCCATCTAGCAAATTATGCAAAGTCCCTAGACTGTGACAGTGCCCCGAACAATGCAGAAAAAATAAATGTATTTTTTCTATGAAGCTTGGCAACTAGACTCTCCCAAAGCTCAAGCACACACCATGCAAGTCTGTCTGTACACACAAAGATCCATTGTACTATCAGCCCTCTACTAGCAAGCAGTGTTTACATAACAGGTGTAATCTGATCATCAATCTTACTGTTCAAATGCCACTGGTCCCCTGCAGCCACGCATAGTTAGATAAATTAAAACTGAAGAAAACAGTTCTCATACTCTGTATCTTCTTTTGTATATTCATCTCTATTTTTGTAAAATCTCAATACCAAAGTTAATTTCTAATGAAAATGTTGATTGGCACTGAAGTTTTGTCTATGGTATTTAAAGGATCACTATAGGGTCGGGAACACAAACATGTATTCCTGACCCTAAAGTGTTAAAACCACCATCTAGCCCCACTGAGCCCCTGATGCCTCCATAAATATAGCAAAATCTTACTGTATTCAAGCCTGAAGCTACAACTCTGAATGCTGTTTGTCTCAGAAAAACAAGCAGTCTGCTGACATCATCAGAAGTAGTGGCCTGATCTAATCACAATGCTTCCCCATAGGATTGGCTGAGACTGACAAGGAGGCAGATCAGGGGCAGAGCCAGCATGAATCAAACACAGCCCTGGCCAATCAGCATCTCCTCATAGAGATGAATTGAATCAATGATTCTCTATGAGGAAAGTTCAGTGTCTGCATGCAGAGGGAGGAGATACTGAATGTTTTGATGCATTTTAGGCAGCCATGACCTAGGAAGGATCTCTAACAGCTATCTGAGGAGTGGCCAGTGAAGTTATCACTAGGCTGTAATGTAAACACTGTCTTTTCTCCTTTGGACAGTCAGCATAGAGAAAGAATACATTTTTTTTAAAAAAATACATTGTTTACAGCAAAAAGCCTGAAGGTAATGATTCCACTCACCAGAACAAATTCAATAAGCTGTAGTTGTTCTGGTGACTATAGTATCCCTTTAACCCACTGAAAAGGAAAATTGCTTATATATCAAAAACAAGGAATAATTTATGTTTTACTTATCCATTTATTTAATAAATATGTATTGTTGTAGTGCAGAGCCGGCCCAAGACATTGTGCTGCCTGGGACCAAGGATGAAATGCCCACCAAAATACACCGGCATCCATTATGTTATGTATTATGTATAGTGAATGTAGAGTGTGCGATTGTGTAGTGAGTGCAGTGTGTGTAGTGGATGCATTGTTTGTGCATAATTATGCAGAGTCTGTGTTTGTATACTGTATGCAGTGTGTGGATGCAGTGTGTGTATAGTGTATGCAGAGTAGTAGTGGATGAAGGGCCATTGCAAGTATTTTTGACAACTCAGGCAAAGATGCAGTTTGACACTCTCCCTCTCCCCACAAAAAAAATGCATCTTTACCTGTGTGTCTCTCCCCCCCCCTTTTATTTTTATCACCCGTTTTGTGTTTTTTATCCCATCATTTGAATGTCTGACCCTTTTTGTGTATCTTACCCCCCCCCCCTTTTTTGTGTATTTAATCCCCTTTAGTGTATATAATACCCCATTTTTACATCTTGTGTCTTGGCTCTTACTTTCCCCTTGTTGTGTCTCTTATTTCCCTCCAGCCCCTTATTTCTATAGCACTGTATGTGTCTCTTTCTCCTGAGCCCCTTTTTCTGTCATTGTCCACTTCCCCAGCTCCTGTGTGTGTGTCATTTTCACCTTCCCAGCCCCTCTCTGTGTCATTGTCCCCTTCCAGCCCCTCTCTGCATCATTTCCCCTTCCTCAGCCCCTCTCTGTGTCATTGTCCCGTTCTTTAACTGCTGTGTATTATTGTCCCCATCCCCAGCCCATCTGTGTGCGTCATCGTCCCCTTATGTAGTGTGGCCAAGCGGACTGCCGTAGATGAGCTTCGGTTTCCTCTACTTGGACTTATAGGAAGCTGTTCAGTTCTCTCACTGAGCACTTCTTGTCAGACTGGGTAGAGGATAAAGATCCTCTACCACGGTGCGGTCTGCTTGGCCACACTACATGAAGCTCATGGAAGCTGCACCCTTGCGGTACCGTGTTTTTCAGCAGTCATGCCGGCTGTCTACATCCTGCGCCTATTAATCCATCTCCACCAGCATGTGTTTATAACAGAAGTGCAAGCCATGGGCAAATTACAAATTGGGTTGGGGAATACACGGGGAGGAGAGGTAGGGAATAATTCAGGGGGCATCTGCTGCCCATTAGTGGCGCCCATAGCGGGGAGTGTTATAGATAGAAACAAGATTTGACAGGGCGGCAAAATGCCTGGAGCCATGGCCCCAAAGGGTCCTATGGACGAGCTGGCCCTGCTGAAGTGTAAAAAATTAAATGTAGAAATCCACACTTCTGTATTCTGCAACAGGGAGACTCCATCTTAGCTCCCTGTCAGTCATTATTATAAGCTATGTCCTTTGGACAGTCAGCATAGAGAAAGAATACATTTTTTGGGGGTATTATTTCTCCTCTTTATTAGTAATGATTGCCGTGGCTTTGTCTTGACTCAAGTACCTTATGGCGTAATTTGCTAAATATTTCATTTTAAAAGAAAACGTTTCTTTACACATGTTATAGGTGATTTCAATGTTTTTATTAATAATGTGAATTCCAGAGAAGTGACAATTCCCCTTTACTATCCAAACACCTACTGCACTTCGGCTTAATGGCATGCTGTATTTGGTAATTACTCATCCATGCTCTCCCAAAAGAAACCAGGAGCAGCTATAAGTGGTTATAATATGTATTAAGAGGGACACGCCATATCAGGAGGTGGGCTCCATCATATGACAACACTGACAAACAGTAAACTGTGGTTTGGCTCCACAAGACAAGGGCTTCAGCCCATTGGTGTGTTTTTAGTTTCTATCACATCCTCTTGTAGTCCTTTTCCCCCCTTTTTAATTTTTTCTCTCTTTCTTTCTATTTCAGGTTTTATTCATCGATCTCCTTATAACTCCCTCCTCCTGAGTATTAGTCTAAGTTGATACTATACGATTTATCCGTTGTACTTTATGGTATCATTATACTTTATCTGTCAAACCTTCTTCCCCATGTAATTCCATCCCAGTACTCAGGGGTCAGGGTCCAAAAGAATGGAAAAGTCTTTAACGTGATACGATATGACCAAGGGTAGCACTATTGTTCTCTTATCGGTAACTGCTTAATGATGCCATGTATTGACTTTCAGCAATTTTATGTTGATTATAAAATGTATTACTTTCCTAAAATGTAATTTGCTCATAATCACAATATATACAGATAATATGATTAGTATTCATTTTTACAGATCAGTGAATAATCTTTATAAGACAATCCTAATGTACATGCAGTATATTACATAAACCAAAGAGACCAAAGTTCTTAAATTACTTGAAGGTCAGTTATGTAAAGTCATACAAGTGATATTGTTTGCTTCAGCTGATATATCAAACAGTCTGTGTTAATAGCATGTCTAGTCCTCCTCCGCAGGCTGCTTTACTTATTCCTGGTGCTCCTAGTGCCTGTATCATAAGCTGATTTAAAATCCCTCCCTGCTATAGAATCCTTCTTTTGGAGGAGCCTGGCAGTCCCCAACAGGAGTGAGACGTCGGGTGGCTGGTCCAGACTTCCAACAATTCTCAATCTGTCTCCCTATGTTACACAGGGCTTCCCTATGTATGTGGTGCCCTACAGCCGTACATTATATATCTGTGGGACAGTTTTACCGATGCCTCATACTCCTATGTCCCCTGTCTCTCATCCTACATCATACCTATTTTTCCCAAGGCTAGGAGCCCTTGTCATTTTGGGGCCTGGAGAGGATGGGGGTTCAGAGATACTGTGATTTGTTTGAAAATTGAGCTGTTGTTTCTTTTAATTCCATCTGACAAAGAGGCCCTATTACCACTGAGACTTTCCCGTAACTTCAATTACACAGCTTTGCTGCGGGAGGTAGCTCAGATTAACCAGTCACACGCCACTTGCTTTGAGGCACTGTGTCTTCAGGACACCTAAGTAAAATGGCTTATTACTGGACTCAATCAGCACCTTAGCACCTTGTTAATTTGCATATACAAAATTTTATTAGACGGTACATGTATCGGATTTTTAAATCTTGGATTTTTATGTATGACCTGCAGCCTGCTATCTGCATAAATAAAGTTTTAAAAATGACATGCCTACTACACTCCCATATAAAGCGTTTGCTTAATTTATTTACACTTGCATAAAAAGAACACACATAATTATGTTTTAACGTTGCTTATGTGCAGCTCCACATTTAAAGGGGTATGTCACTTTCACTTCCCCCATTGTGTTTGTTCATCACAATTCACACTTTTTTTAATTGCACTAATAATATAAATTATGGTGTGTTTTTAATTCCTAAAACTATGGGTATCTCAGTTTTTCAATTGCAAGCTAATCTTAAAGCAAATTTATTACATAAGCTGCTGATAAAAGAATAAACCCCAGAGTAGGCTTTTGATTGTGAAATACAGAATTGTAGCATTTTCACTGTTTTATGTAATTCTATATAGTGAAATTGAAAAGGAATTTGTTCATCAAAACTTACCCCAGCCTTCACATAGATTGGAACAAAAATCCAGCCAAGAATCACCACAATAACCAGTGCCTACAGGAAAAAACATTAAGCAAAACAAAAAGAATTAGATGCTCTAAGTCTAACAAATCATGACACTACACATTGTGTCCTTTTAGTGATGACAGTCTGCTGGCATACAAATTATTAAATGCTCACATGACAGGGAATGTTTCATTCGCACATTCTGCTGAATATTCTTCAGGTTTTACTGGTATAAAGATTCTGACCCACAACTTACTTGCATGTAGCACAATAAATTCCATCAGGTGTGATAGGTAGAATGCTGATGACAACTATCTGCAAATATTACAATAACCATTCAACAGCATTAACCCCTTCAGGACGGAGTCAATAGTGCACGTTCTGATCAAAACAAAATGTAAACAAAAACTGGAATTTGCGCTATATGTCTGTTCTACTGTAATTCACCTCTTTCATATTAAGTGCACCCACACTTATTATATATCATTTTGTTCAGGAGAAACAGGGCTTTAATTTCTCATAAACTTTTCATATATGAAACATAATTTTATTATGAATAAAATAAAAAAAACTGTGAGAAATTAAGATTTAAAAAAAAAAATGTGTAGTTCCGCCTGACTTTTTAGCTGTAAATGTCATAATACTGTTAGCTTTTACTGCAATAAAAGGCACATATTTGTATTCAGCAGAGCCTCACGAGTACAACAGTAACCCCCCTTTAATAGGTTTTATGGAGTTTTGGAAAGTTACAGGTTCAAATATAGCACTTTCCATTTTTTCACATTTAAAGGGACTTTCCAGTACCAGGAAAACATATTAGTTTTCCTGGCACTGCAGAACCCTACAGTGCCCCTCTGCCTCCACCCCCCATCCCAAGTTGCTGAAGGGGTTAAAACCCCTTCAGTGACTTACCGGAGTTCAGCGCCAATGTCGCTCGGCGCTGGGTCAGGCTCTGCCTACTCTCCTCCCCCGCCGTCAGCCGGCGGGGGGAGACCTAATGCGCATGCGCGACAATGGCCACGAACGCGCATTAGACTCCCATAGGAAAGCATTATTCAATGCTTTCCAATGGGGATTTCAGTGACGCTGGAGATCCTCACACAGCGTGAGGACGTCCAGCATCGCTTAAAACACTTTTTGTGTTCTAAGAACACGGAAGTCCCTCTCGTGGCTGTCTCGTAGACAGGGTAGTGGGAGTTGGCACCCAGACCACTCCAATGGGCAGAAGTGGTCAGGGTGTCTGGAGTGTCCCTTTAAATTTGCCACATTAGTAATGTTACCTTTGAGGCCGTGTGGTAGCCCAGGAAGGAGAATTACCCCCATGATGGCATACCATTTGCAAAAGTAGAAAACTCAAGGTATTGCAAGTGGGGTATGCCCAGTCTTTTTTAGTAGCCACTTTGTCACAAACACTGGCCAAAGTTAGCGTTCATATTTGTTTTTGTGTGAAAAAAGCAAAAAAACTATATTTGGCCAGTGTTTGTGACTAAGTGGCTACTAAAAAGACTGGACATACCCCACTTGCAATATCTTGGGTTCCCTACTTTTGCAAATGGTATGCCATCATGGGGATAATTCTCATTCCTGGGCTACCATACGGTCTCAAAGGCAACATAACCAATCTGGCAAATTTCAATGTGAAAAAAATGTAATGCAAGCCTTATATTTGACTCTCTAACTTTCCAAAACACCATAAAACCTGTACATGGGGGGTATTGTTATTCTCGGGAGACTTCACTAAACACAAACATTAGTGTTTCAAAACAGTAAAATGTATTACAACAATAATATGGTCAGTAAAAGTGCCGTTCATGTGTGAAAAATCCGTCACTTTCACTAAAAATAACATCATTGTAATACAATTTACCATTTTGAAACACTAATATTTGTGTTTAACGAAGTCTCCTGAGTAAAACAGTACCCCCCGTGTACAGAGTTTAAGGTGTCTTGGAAAGTTACAGGGTTTAATATAGTGTTTGCGAATTACATTCTCTGCATTTTCTGCCTGGGTTGTCAGGCATGTCAATCAAATTTTAATTAATAAAATCACATAATTATGCTAAAAGATTACTTAAATATACACGTAGAATTTTAATATATATACATATATACGTATTTAAATTCTACGTGTATACTTATGTGATCATTAATGTAATTATATATATTAACTATATATATATATATTGACGGTTATTTGTATTTTATATATAGATATATATGGAATGTCATTCTAAATGTATTTTGTTACATATATATATATGTATATATATATATATATATTACAAAATACAGTTAGAATGAAATTACATATGTATATATAATTTATTTTCATTTAAAAAAAGTATGTTATTTATTTTATTTTATTTATTTATTATTGTAATTATACGTATATATATATAAATATAAAATATATATGTATTATTTATATAATATATATAAATTTTATATATATGTAACTTCATTCTAAGTGTATTTTAATACTAATATATGTACTTATATTAATATTAAAATACACTACGTAAGACGTTACATATATATAAGATGTATATATTACATATATATATGTACATTTAATTTATTTTAAACATATTTAATTATTATTTTTTTGTTACACTTCCCACCAGCAGGGGGGGACTGTCTGACAGCCCAGACAGTCCCCCTGCAGGCAGATCCACAGCCAGCTATTGCGGTCATGTGATTGCTCTTTGAGAGCGATCACATGGCCCCAGGGGGCCTGATTTGCCAGGGGAGGGCTGCCTGGGCTGTCAGGCAGTCCTTCCGTTGAGGATCGCGGTGGAGGTAAGTCCACCGGAGCTCCTGGGGGCTTAAGCCGTTACGTGGTTCTATGCCGCTGCAATGGTTTTAAAGCCCATTATAATGGGGACGGCATAGAACACCGTAACGGTGTTAAGGGGTTAAACATATTTTATTTGTTGGGTCCAGTACACTAGGTACCCCAAGTTTATACCAAACAACATTAGCAATAATGTTAAAACAAAGCTCAATACAAAAAAGCATACAAGGTATACAAATGATAACATGTATTCTTTGAAAACAACCAAAAAGTGCAATAATGTTATTAGCAGTATAGATTCACAATGATACCTTAAACAGGCTACCCAACATAAAAATACATACCAAAAAAGAAGGGGAAAAAATTGTCAGAAGTAGTGAGAAAAGGGAGAAAGTCAAAATAGCCCCCAACATTTCGGCAGGATTGCTTTTTGTGCTCCCTTGATAAAGGCAATCCTGCTGAAAAGTTGGGGGCTATTTTGACTTTCTCCCTTTTCTCACTACTTTTGACCTTTTTTTACTTCTGTTTTGATATGTATTTTTATGTTGGGTAGCATGTTTAAGGTATCATTGTGACTCTATACTGCTAATAGCATTATCTATTTATTTATGATAATGACTGATTTGGGCCACAAACTAAAACAATATCAATTTGAACTTTACTGAGCTTGGGTTGGTCATGATATAGTCAATATTTTACTTTAACTTAGCAAGCACTTATACTCTAAACACCATAACCACTTAATCTTAATGAAGAGTTTTTGGTGCATATGTGATACCCCTTAAGAAAATGAAAAAAAAATCAATATTTACATTTTGCCTAAAACATGCCTCTAGTGCCTGTCAGACAGACAGCCAATAGAGGCACATCCTTTCTGCTTTGTATGTTTAAAGATCTTCATGTTTGACGTCACACATGCATGATGACACCATCTGCCACTACTGGATTCAGTCTTTCTCTATGAGAATCACTGAATTGGCAAAGTATGGCAAAACTCGTGCATGCGGTATAGGTCCCCAATTTTTCTCTGTGAGAGATGTTGGAATGGACCAGAGATGGTCTCACAATGGGTGGATTGGGATGCAGAAAAGAGACTTCTGATAAGCATATTTACACTGGGGGAATCTTAAAGTATAAATAAAATTCACCAATTACGGATACACAGAGAAACAGTTTGGTGCTATATATGAATTAAATCGTACATTCCATTCAAAGCCTCCAATCACAATGCCTCCAGCAGCTGCTGTCCCCGCTAGACCAACAAAGTGTCCGCTACCGATGTTACTGGCAAAAAGAGATGCTCCAATCTAGAAAAAAGAAGCACAAAACATTGTTATTGAGGGTTTTTTGGACAAAGATATTTATTGTCATAGAACAGAAGATATGATGTTTGTGCAATAATCTGAGTGGGTTATTCACTAAAGTGCGTCTTTTCAGGAATATAGGGAAAATTTAAAGGAACACTCCAATCACCCTAAAGGTATGCCAGCACCATGGACCACCTGGGGTACCATAACATCTGAATTCTGATTAAGTTGTTATGGTGCCAGGAGTGTTACTTTAAAATAAATTTTAAGCAAAAATAGCCTGAAGTTAAAGAAGTTTTCCAAATTGGGTATTGTAGATTAAAGGTTGCTTTAAATTAAGTATAATTCTCAGAATGAGTCTCTTTTCTATGTTAACTTTGAGAAAAGCAAGTAATATAGCTGTAACTTTTTATACTATAACATTATATAAGTGGTAAGGCTACAACAGACAGCATTTTACAGAATTCTAACCACATTAGTAGATATCTGGCACATGAAATAAAGCATTCACAAAAGGAAATAATGAATCTGCTTCTTAGGGAAATGAAATTCAGAAACTTCAAGGTGCTAAGGTTAGCTCTCAGTATACTGGGTTATAAAAAAACTGCGAAGATTCAATGGATATTCCAATCAGCTTCCATGTAGAGCTACAATTTATCACAAGTGACAGTTAGTTTAGAGTAATAGGCCTGAGATAGGTTTAGAAACTATTGTACCCCCATCCCTCCTCCCACCGATCCACACCTCCTTAACCCTCACTCCTTCCATCCGAGTACACCTCCCCCTTATCCTCTCCCCCCCAAATGTATGAGTTCATTCCCAGAACCATTACCCAGTTGGACATTCCAACAGCGGGGGAAACGTAGCAAAACAGGAAGCAGTTGACTAGCCCTGGAAATAGACATATAGACCAAAGATATATAACACCAAACTTGACACTGCTGTACACAGATCCGGATCATAACAGGAAAAATACTGAACAACACGTCCCTGACCACCCAAAATAAAGTGGGGCTCAAGTGTTGAGCACACAGAAGGTGACCAGGCTTTGGCTATAAGTACATACATTCCCTCAGGCCTGGGAAGGGTATAAAGCAGGCACGCAAGGATGATGACAAGCTTACCTGAACATTACCTGAGAGTAACATACTAAATCTTCCTACTGACTACAGTTAAGACACACATATCCCATACTCACTAACAACTATAACCATAGTGCTGCGTGAGGTATAACGCAGCGGAAGGTTTATGTACAGAAATAACCTTGAGAGGGTGTCACAAGGCTACAGCACAGATACACATGTACGCAGATGACACGGTAATCTATGCGAGTAAATCCAATCTACCGCAACTTGAGACTGTGCTCCAAGACCAGTTTACAGAGGTAGAAAAGTGGATCACAAAAAACAAACTCTTCCTGAACAATGACAAAACTGTCACAATGATCTTTGGAACAGTACCTAAATTACACAAATTACACAATTCCCACCTATCCATCAAAACAAATTCAAATAGCACACTGACCGCATTCCACTCTTTCAAATACTTGGGTATGATGTTAGACCCCAATCTATCTTTTGGCCTGCACATAGAAAAGCTTGCATCTAAACTTTATCCAAAACTAGGTGCCCTGTACAGAAACAAATCCTGCTTAAGCCCTACAGTGAAGGAAAAGATTGTACAGCAAATGCTGATGCCAATCATTGATTATGGGGATGTAGTATATGCACCTGCATAGCAATCCCACATTAATAAACTCATTACATCATATAACTCGTTCTGCCGATTTGTGCTACAATGTAATTACAGGACCCATCATTGTGACATGCTAAAAGAACTAAACTGGCTGTCGCTGGAATCCAGACGCACCCTTCATCTTTCCAGCCTCATGTTTAAGAGCTTTTCTGGGAAACTCCCACCCTACCTGAACAAAATGCTTTCCCCAGCTGTTCCCACTTCCTATAAGCTCCGATCCAGTACAAGCACTTTACTTAGTCTACCTCAATACAAAAAGAAAGCGGCCCGATCCTCCTTCTCCTACAGAGCACCACAATTGTGGAACAACCTCCCGCACCATTTAAAATCTTCCCTAAGCCTAAAGTCCTTTAAGAGATCCCTCTCTACATACCTCAAAACAGAATGCATGCGTCATGGTTGATTATATATTTCCTGCCTGTTCTATGTTAAATTTTGTATTTATTGTGTATTAATATTGTTTTTGGATTTTGTTGTACCCTAATGTAACAATGCAATGATTTGTGGACCCAGGATATACTTGAAAACGAGAGAAATCTCAATGTATCTTTCCTGGTAAAATATTTTATAAATAATAATAATAAATAATAATATATGCTAACTATTAATTAAGGAAACGGAACTCTCAAGACTAGACCTACACTAACAAACTGGTGAGGTGCTGCAGACCAGTGGTTCAAGAACGGTAAACGTAACTTAATGTGGTAAATGTTAGATGGGCCGATGATAGGGACCATTCATACTGTTGTTATATACTTGAACGTGAACCTCAAAATAAGCATACCGAGTTCTTTTTCTGACCCAATGTATAACGAGATTAATGCTGAAGGTGTCTATATGCATGTCGAAGCTCACTCTGTCCTTAAACAAAAATGTCCACAACGGAAGATGCAACATTACGCTTTTGCTTGTTATATTTATAGTTTTTACAACGAAAAATAAAGATAGTAAAAAAAAAAACAAGAAGCAGAAACCAGTGTATATTTGTAAACAGCACCATATGATAAGAACACGTCAATTTAAGACTTATGTAAGTTTGGCGTGAGCGCTAGTTACATAAGCTACAGCTATAAAATGTTATGATGGGGTAAAGTATAAGAAAATAGATAAGTGTATTTCTAAAAAAATGCAATGGGAGAGATTTACAATCCATAACTTATTCACTTTATATGAAGATCTTGTGAACTTTATGAAAATATAGTGAATTAGGATAAATTTATCACAATTACGGTTACAAATGATTCACAGGAACTCTTGGCTATTGGGATCTTTCAGTTAACCTGATCCTGTTTACACAACAGATTGTTGGGGAAGGTAAATGATAACTAATGAGCCTTACACAAATGGCAGCAGTAAATATAATTGCCCTTTGCTGCAGTCTTTGTTATTCCCCTGTGATGAGCATGTTTTCTGAGCTCCTGGTTCTATTTCAACATCATTTACTGTGGTTTTTCAGTAAGGAACCCATATATATAATGTGCTTTTTTTTATTTATTTGCTTGTTTATTTGTTTGTTTTAACAACCTATGATTTAATCTATTAAAGGATTCCTGTAGTGATAGGAACACATTAAAGTATTGCTAACCCTACAGTCCTGTTGGCCCTTATCAATATGCATGCCTCCAATTGTTCACAAAAAAAGTAAAAACACAATATATATATATATAAACAAATTACTCACCTTCTCTCCAACACGAGTCTCCCTCAGCATTGCCGCGACCGCCTGCTTGGGTTACATCATCATGGAGGTGTGCCTCCAGGATAACGGGACAATCCAATACTCCTCATAGAGGAACATTCGGGAATATAGGCACATGCGCTCCACTCACAGTGATGCACCTACAATTACTCCATAGAGAATCATTGTCCTCAATTATTTTCTGTGGCCGACCATGACAACACTGTGCAAGCACGCATTATGTCACAGTATTTTAAAATATTAGAGCTAGGAAGTAAGATTGCTCTATCGGTCATAATCCTATTTTACCATATAATCATATAATCTAATAAAATTGTATATTGCTGTTACACTTAGTAACCTTGCTCTCGTTTCTGGATTCTATGATCAAACCTTGCAAGGTGTCAATTCTTCTGGATCCATTGTACATATTTTATGTAATCCTACATCCTACCTCCTTTAGACTTTAAAGGAGCACTATAATGTTAGGAATACAAATATGTATTCCAAACACTATTTTTTTAACTAACTATTAGGGTCCCGGCATCCCTTTAGAGTATAGAAATAAGGTGTTTAAACTTACCTTACAGGTGATACTCAAAAAATTTGAAAATCTTGCAAAAGTTCATTTATTTCAGTAATGCAACATAAAAGGGGAAACTAATATATGAGATAGACGCATTACATGCAAAGCAAGATAGTTCAAGCCGTGATTTATCATAAGTGCGATGATTATGGCTTACAGCTCATGTAAACCCCAAATTCACAATCTCAGTAAATTAGAATATTACATGCAATCAATAAAACAAGAAGTGTACATAGAACAATATCGGACCTCTGAAAAGTATAAGCATGCATATGGACTGAGTACTTGGTTTGGGCCCCTTTTGCAGCAATTACTGCATCAATGCGGCATGGCATGGAAGCTTGTGGCACTGCTGAGGTGTTATGGAAGACCAAGATGCTTGAATAGCGGCCTTCAGCTATTCTGCATTGTTCGGTCTCATGTCTCTCATCTTTCTCTTGGCAATGCCCCATAGATTCTATATGTGGTTCAGGTCAGACGAGTTTGCTGGCCTCTATGAGGAACATTGGAAAGGACATTGGTGGAGGAGGGCATACCTCCTCCGTGGTAATGCAGAAGCAAGAAAAGTGAGCACTGTTGAGGGAGTCTCAGCTCAGGAAAAAAGGTAAAAAAATAAGATTTTTTTTATCCATTATTATGCTGAATGAGGGGGGGGGGGGAGAGTGTACCTATTAATTTAGGGACAGGAACATTAAAACGTTGGGAACACAGGTTTGTATTCCTAACGCTTTAATGTTCCTTTAATCAAGAGACGTGCATTCAGAATGGGGAGCGTAGATTGGCTCAGATCATTGGGGATAGAATAGGGTCCTATTGCTTCAATATGTACATCCTTGCATTATCTATACATTACATGTAAGGTCACATTTGAAACAGTCATATAATCTAACTGGTAATAAAATAACCTGCCCTGCATATGAACCTTACATCCTTAGCAATATGATTCTGTTTATGCAAGGGATGTTATGTACGTGCTAAAGTCTTGTGCGTTTAATTACTATTGAGTTAAATCATATTCTTCAGTTTTGCAGCTGTTCAATGGGTTACATTTATAATGTACACACACATTTTTGACTGTAAAATGCTAAAATGTTATGAAATCAATTTCCCGGTATTTTTACTAGTGCCATTTTGATTGTGTGTAAACTTTTATATTCAGGACATTTTCATTGTTTTATATTTGTTATCCAAAATGAATATGGTAAGGGCAAAACAAAACAATAGTTCTATTGTATTCCATTATTACGTAAATATTCTCTGTTCTTGCCCTATACATCTGTGTGGTATGCAACCCTCCACTTTAAAAAGTTGCTTAACACTGTACAGTTAGTATTTATTTATACGGGAAGATTGCAATTACAAAGTAAATTATTTTATTTATTTATAAAATATTATACCAGGAAGTATACATGTTTTCAAGTATGTTTTGGGTCTACAAAACATTGCATCGTTACAAGAGGGTACAATTAAATACAAAAACAATATAAATACACAACACATACAAAATCTAACCCATAGAACAGGTAAGAAATATATAATCAACCATGACAGGTGCATTCTGTTTTGAGATATGTAGAGAGGGATCTCCTAAATGCATATTGGAATGTCTAAGTGGGTTAAATTAATACTCTAAGCACCATAACCACTACAGTCTGATATAGTGCTGTTGGGTCCACAAGTAACTTGGCACTGTCCTACGTTAATATTGTCAAACCTGGTTTTACAACTTACCCAGTTCCCATCAGGCACCCATGCTACACAGCCATGTCTAGTCTATTCCATTAGTAAAAGCTGGAGCAGACTGGATGCATCGAATGTTGCTCAGTCACTGGGTGGGACAGAAGTAAGTTGTCAAACTGTGCTAAAATAGTTTTGTGTTTTACAGTGGGATGATGCCAGAGCTTTGCGTGTGTCTCTTTAATGACTAAACCACAAATGGTAGGGAATTGAAGACCGAAGTGCTAAATGTAAATTAAAATCTCCACGCTGAGTTGGAGAAACTTTGTAAATCTTGTATTTCGCATCTGCTGTTTTGGAAAACCTTATTTACCAAATCAGGGATCAATTTTTTTTTCAAAATTATTGGTTACAAATATTTTAATAAAATGGAACTACCAGAAAGACTAAGGTATTCAAACACATGTTTAGACATTGTGTAATGTTAATAGTTTAGTAAGCACATAAATAAATAATAATAAATTACTTTGGAAATAGCATTATGCCTATTAGTAAACAGTGTCAGGATTTCTTTCATACACTGCCTGTAGGTGTATGCCCGCGCCAAGTGTAAAGTGTAAAGTACATGAACAAAACATCTGACAATTAAATATTGCTTGATATATAGCAACCAGAGTGTAATGCTGCCAAAAACTATGTGGAAATATTCATTTTAGATTGTAAATTAATTTATTTATTTAGCAGACGGGTAGATAAAGCATTTCTCTATGTTTAATTACTGTGGTTTGTAAAACTTGCTAGTGTTTTGAAACAGATCATCTAGTATCACTACGTGTTTAAACAAATTTTGACCTCAGCTTTTCTTTAAGGGATTAGATTAGGTGAAAATTTGTACATTTATTGTCATTAAGTGAAATCTAGTTATGAATAATGGTGAGTGGATTGTGACTTATAAACTACCAGATTGATACGCTAATACAGTAAATACAAAGGAGTCATTACTGATTGTCGAGTAAGCTGCACGCAACCAAAAAGCGGCTTCCAAAAAGATAAGTATATTGATCTTTATATACATATATAATATAACATCATTTATGTACATGGTGTTATGTGATATTTATATGTAGTGTATATATATATCTTCCATCTTCTGTGCCTCAGACGTTCATTGCCTTCATCCTCTTGGTATTAGCACATATCTATATATCAAAGATTTCCAAGCTACCACAGCACAGCTAGGCGCTATGTGCTTGTGTGTATATATATATATATAAAAGGCACATAGCGATAATGGCAGAACGATAGCCATAGTAAGTAGGATAACAAAGAAAGCAAAGAAAAGAATGGGAAAGTGAGCAGAATGATGAATGGATGGAGCACGATTGGGGCAAAAAATGGGAAATAGAGGTTACATCATATTAGAGTAAGCAAAGAGACGAATCAAGATGCCAGACAATGAAACAAGCAATTTAAAAAGGAGAGATTGGTGAAACTCAGATGGGAAAATAAGGGAGCGATGTGGAAGGAAAAGACAGGGTCGGGATAGAGAAAAGCTGGGTGTGATAAGGAAACGCAGGGAAGGTAGTTAGGATAGAAGATATTAGAAAGGTAGATTTAGAGAGCAGGATGGTTGAAGCCAAAGAGAAGTTGGAAGGCAGGCAGACATGGAAGAGTGAATGTAAAGAAAAACAATGTTGGCCTAGAACCATATCAAGATTATGAGTAAAGGGAGACTAGGGGAGGGCGGTGTGGAGAAAAGTAGTGGAAGCGGTTGCACAATAGAGGAATGAGCTAAAGATAAATGAAAAATGACTGGAATGAAAAGCCAAACAATTGAATATAAAGAAGAGTACTCAGGAGGGGTGGAAAGAACAAAGAGAATGAATGGGAGGGGACCAACAATAGACTATACTGCTATAGAAACATTGTTACAGGATTGGTGCCAACAGGAAGGTTCCATATTGTGTGATGAGATTTGTAAATGAATCAGTGTACACAAAGTCAGAAAATAGACGTGAATCCTATTTTCAGAAAAAGCTACAGGCAGTGAACTTGCCCTAGAAGCAGGATACCCGTATTTGGAGTTGTGATGAATACAGTGTATAAACTAGTGCAAGGGCATGAACATTGACTGTATTTTAATGTACACGGTCTTTAGTTTTTGGGTCAAAGGGGAAGTGGACTAGTGGATAACTACATTTCATTAAAAATTGTAAATGACCTAAAAACATGCACGGTAACTGCAGAAGAAAGGAGATCATTAGCTGGACTCTCCTGTGACTATCAAACGTCTGTGCAGTGCTTTATTCCGAATAACTGCAAGCTGGAGAATGGAACCAAGGAGGGGCCAGTCAGGTAATACACAAGCCGCAAAACACTTTCAACAAATGGATTGCTACTGTTAACTTCACAGGGTGGTCAACCGTGTAACCAGACATAACCTTACAAAAAGTACTTGTGGGACTGCAGGTAGTAAAAGAAACCTGTGAGATATGAGCTAATCTGATCTTAAACCTGATAAATTATTAATCTTAATAACAGGTATTAAGAATACAATCATCAGAAATGATTAACCATATAGATCAGCACCTCGGCAGTCCTGAACATGAATAATTCCACTGTAGTGTGGACTTTCAACGTGCGGTTGAAGTGTCAGCAGTAAAACAAATGCACTTGAGCTTTTATTCGGTAAACACCAAATTTTAGTTAGCTGAAATGTTACTGCAAAGTGTACACTGAAATAGCCGAGCTGTGACTACGGCTGAGCCTGAGTTGAAGAAAGTCCAAATCTGCTATTTTTAGTTATTCTTGCCATGCAAAAGTCAATTCCTGAGAATTTGAAGTTTAGTGAATAAACTCTGCAGAGTTTTTGAAATAAGCAAGACAGATATGAAGCTATGAGAGGGAGACAAGTGGAATCACAAGGAAGGAAATAGGTTTTGTGTATCATGGGAATGAATGCATTTAAATGCAAGAGTGCTGGTAGACAAGGCTTTAAAACAAGATGGTGGTGGGAAGCAGAACAATGAAATGATTGTGAAATGGATGGGGGCATACAGATAACCAAGTGATTGTAATAAGGGAACTGCAATCACTATTTGTTCAAACAAGAATGTGGGAAGAGTTGGGTGAGGGTGAAGGAGAGGAGGCGTTCACTGGGTGTGGAGATCACGAGGTGTGGGGTAAAGACAATCACAGGAGTGGGTGGAAAGAGATCATGGAGGATGGGGGAAAGTAGACCACTGGGTGTGTGGGGAGAATCATGGTGTATTAGGGGGAAATAAATCACTGGGGGTGGGAAGGAAATAATAATAAACAAATTGTGTGAGAATAAGCATTTGCACAATTGCAATCCACTTTGGAGACCAGTACCCACAAGTTATGTGCGGCCTAATATTATTTGTTGTGGAAGGAACTGACGAGAATTTGCTGTGGAAGCATCATTTAGCTATAATATTATTTCTTTAGTTTAATTGATGTACAATAAAAATAATCATGGGTTTCAATGGACGATGAGAGTTGTATATCAAGATGGATTTAGGAGCAAAGTTCTAAAGGTGGAGCAATCAGCATAAACATTCAGTTGGTTTCCATGTTGAATTTTGAGCTTTGCCCAGAACGGCTTTCTTTAAATATTCCCCAGAGTGTTCCATCTATAAATCTGACATTACCTGCATTATCAAAGTATCATATGTGTAATAGAAAGGGGAGATAAAATCAGACTCCCTAAAATGGAAATGCCAGGTCCCTCTTGTGGCTCAAATGCAGTATAACCGCCTACAAGGGTAACAGTGAACCAACTCCATACCTTTTAATCTAATAGGATATAGGTAATCCCAGGAAAGAAACAAATTTCCTGGGAAGATAAGATGATAGGGTGATGAATTTACCTCCAATATGTTCCCTTCCAGCTGCATGGAGGCAAGCATAGTAAAGCGAGGTCTCCAATATCATTGCTGTACAAACTAATTCGGGCTTCATTGGTCCATGAACAAAGGTAATTTACTTAAAGCAGGGATTTCAATCTATTGCAGTTATTTAAATGCAATAGTTGCCCAGAGAGTAATCGGAGTTGTAGCACAGCAAAAATTGGGGGGATGGAGGTGCAATGTTTGAGATGCATTACTTAAAGGACAACTGTTATAAAATGTCCACTTTAAATACCTTATTTTTTTTTTAAATACCTTTTTTTTTTTTTAAATACCTTTTTTTTTTTTAAATGAGGTATTTTGATATTTGAGGAAATATCACTTTTTTTTTTTTATCTGCTGCCATATTGGAACACATATGTCTGACCAACTGCTGCTCAACCGAACTTGCTTGCTGTTCCAGTTTCACACAGAGAGCAATGTAGCAGTAGGCAATTTAGGGTGAACAGCAGTTGGTTAAAAATGTAACTTTCTAAAATAAAAAATACCCTCCTCCCCCCCCCAAAAAAAATACATCATTGAAGAAAATCATTACATTTCATCAAATGTAATGAGCTTGAATTGAAAATATGATGATACTTATCTTAACCCCTTAAGGACCAAACTTCTGGAATAAAAGGGAATCATGACATGTCACACATGTCATGTGTCCTTAAGGGGTTAAAGTAAACAATCCACATAGAGTTATCATGAACTACTGGTTAGATACATTCAAGATTAATGCAATGATTAATAATAATAATAATACCCTGTAATTTGATGATTTCTCTACTCATAACCCAGTTCCAATCTCAATAAAATCTCCTTTAAAAGTATTTTATCTTTGGTATGCCTGGAGTTAGAAATATGGCTATAATAGCCCTCTAGAGGTTGGTATTCTGAGCATTTGGCCATCTTATCCCTGTGGTGATTTGACCCTTTTAAAATATTTTTATCTTGCCCTTAGAGGATTTCAGTAGTATTTGTATAGCTACAACAGGTTACAGACAAGATTCAGAAATGAAAACAAAGATGGTGAAAGCTTTTAAGTTGCAATAACATCATAACAAAACTTTAATGCAATTTCTCATCAGGAATTGGGTAACAGCTCACAGGTCCGCCTTCCATTGTGTATTGTCCTTACTATGCCCTTCGTGTCTCAGACATTCTACACAAATCCCCTTCACCCTCCCTCTTTTTGATAGGCAAGATTTAATATAACTGGATTTTCTGGATGTGAGAGTAATGGTGACTTATTTTCTGGCTTGGGTTTTTGTAATGCCAGTCGCATGGACTAGCCAGGGGCATACAGATACTTTTATATTTCCACATGTAAGAGATGATACAGTGGGCACTGCAGCTTTCTTGGGTATGAATCAGCAGTACTTTCAAAACAGCCTATGTCACGCACCCAAGGCAGACTGGCACTGTGCCTACCAATACCAATTCTCTCACACTGTGCATTAGACTGTTGTGTCAAGTGCACTTTTTTGATCCACAGGTTAAAGTACTAATGCACCAACCTTTCTGTTACTGGGTAGTTTATGGACACCCTGCAGTAAGGGGCATGTGCCACTGGCTACCTCTTTTACTTCATCTAACATTAGCCTTAGCAGTGCTGTAAGGTGTACCAGGCAGGCACCTCGTTAAATGGGAGTACACAACATACAAAATCCAAGTTCCATGTCCCAGACACCAAGACAGCCAGTGAGGTGACCGCAGGAGTAGCAGACAATGTGATTCTTGGAGCAGAACGTTCTATTCCCTATATTGATACATTCTCCTGAGAGAATCACCTGGACCACAACGTTCGGATAGAATGGAGATATCACTCACCGGCCACCACACCATGCTTCGCCCGGCCAAGAAGAAGCCCCCCACCGTGCCACGGCTCGTCCTCACCATAGCCTGGAAACAAGGGCAAGCAGTTAGACTCAGTCTTCATCCTAGCCGTAAAGCATGCTGTGTGGGTACCACATGCCACCAAAACCACAACAGTGCTACAGAGACATCCCTGCATTTTATTAGTCTGGCTTCCTCATTAATAAACAGAGTTTCTGCGCAGCATATACAGAATACCACATCACTGAAATGCACTTTCTAAACTTGAAATAACTGTTCCTCCTGCACCTGCTTTAACGCTGTAATGTAAAACTTCTAATCTAGACAGAGGGAGAACAGATAGTTCATTGTGTGCAAATCGTGTACACAACTATTCTAATAGCACAAAGCTGTGAGCAAGGCTATTTTTGTGACAACCTGATATTGTGTATTTAAGAGTTAATTCATACATCTGTTTCTACACTGTCTTTTAAACCAATGGTGGTAAAAATCCATTTACAAATGTCCCTTATTTCTCATTACATTATATAGTAAGCATGCCAAGTATTCAGAAGGACTAAGATCACCATGAGTTGGAACTCCCCCATAACAACTGCAAAGTATGGAGCATCTATATTGAACCCTGTGTAAGTTCTATACCCGAATCCCTATGGTTTTAAATATATTGTAATTATGTCTCCAAGTAACTAACTCACCCATAATCCCACAGCCAATACCACCACGAAATACACTACAATCACAGAGATATCCGCGGGGTTATTGATAGGGATGGTGTTTTTGTTCTGGGTACTGGTCGTGTAGCTCTGTGTGTTGCTCTCCATCCTGCCCAATTCACTGAGACACTGCCCCCAAGTTGTCTCCTGGCCCCCTGGTTTCTACTCCAAGCAAGGTGTATCCTGGTGCCCCTGTCCCCTGTCAGGTGTGTGTCTCAGATGTGGGGTTAATTATAAACTCATCCCAGACAGGTTCACCGCCCATTCATGACTTTCGCATCAATGTGTAACCTGCCCATTTATTGACTCTGCCAATCACAGACCAGTAAGTGCACTTTGGCATGATAAACTGATGGCAGATTCTCACCTGTGCTGGGCTGGACGGGAGGTCTGAGAGTGGGACTAAAAACTGAATGCCAAGGGCTACCTAGAATGGCTAATATCTCAGAATTGTGCTGACTATATGGAGTGTTGATAGCTTTATTAGTCATTATTTTTGTAGTTATTTATTGCCACTAACTATTCCCCAGAATCAGGATATCATGCCACAGACACCCAGGGCTCACTGCACGTATGTCAAAGCACCTGATACATGATACAAACAAAAATGTGTGATTTACACTGCTGTTTCGATTATTAGATATTTTATAGATCGCTAACATATTCGGCAGCGCAGTACAAAATGTTTCAAAACATAGAGATAGTTCACTAATTGTTAGACCCTTTGGGGAGGGTAACAAACGCCATGTGCATCCATTATTCTCTTACATTATGTTATTACTGTAACGTTAAGCATCCTACAAGTATTTGGGGGGAGTCTCCTGATTTTGGCTCACCTGTACTGCAGCCCAATGTGTTCATTTCCTGCATAACGCGGTGCTGCCTCTAGACAGGTGTTGAGTCTGACAATCCATTTGCGTTTGTCCTTAACCCCTTGAGAGTTGGTTTACATTGAGTTAACCATAGCTTTGTTACTCAAAGGGTTAATAAATATTCCAGTGTTGCACTTCATCGTAAAACTTGAGGAATTTGAGTGGAGGGATGGGCCATCAGCAGGTTACAGCTCTCACTGTAGCGCACTTCCAGAGCCCACATTAGGGTAAGAGAGTATTATCCACTGAAGGTATATGGGATACACATCACTCCACATAACCTCCATCACTCTGAGACAGATGTATATCTAAATCTACATTCTTTATTCCTTGAATTAGTTCTGGTCTAGATTCAGTGCTTAACCCCTTAAGGACACATGACATGTGTGACATGTCATGATTCCCTTTTATTCCAGAAGTTTGGTCCTTAAGGGGTTAATTATGTAGAAAGAACCATTTGTTCTCACCCAGTGCTTTAAAGGCAGGAAGGATACACTGCCCCTGGTCCTGCCACAACATCCTTGAACCATGGATTGATAAAGAATGGAGAGTGAGAGATGGTCAAAACGTTGCCCTGTGCAAGGATGCAGTGAAATTGATTATCACTTAGAAAAAGTGCTGGACCTTTTTTTCACATTTGTGCGTTCACCCACCTCTCGCCCCAAATGAAGCTGGTTACAAAAACATTATTGCGGGTCTGAAATAGTATTCTTTCCAGTAAACATGCATTAGTTTGGGTTAAACATGTCACTTCCAGAAACCGCAGCGCAAGAGAAATATATCAAACCCATTAATCTTGTCTAGCTAAGGTTAAGCACCAGAAAGAATGATACACAATGTCCTGTACATTTAAAATGGAAACCCTCCAGGCTGTCCAAACCTACTCTTTAGAGTGTAAGCTTTTCGGAAAGCACTCTTAACACCCACTAATACTATAGCAGTTTTTTTGTCTGTGGACTGAAATTTATATTAAACCTTTTATTCCATGTATCTCTTAATGTGGACTTGGTTGGATCAAAGTATATAAATTATGAATAAAGATAATATACAGCTCAACTCCTTAAAATACCCCCAAATCGTTTACAAAAATCACACACAAAATAGGTTGCACACTGACAAAGATCTTACCCAAGATCTAGGGTTAGGGCTGGCTTCATGTGGCCTACAAACAAACTGTCCAATCTGAGGCCAAAATAGCACATTATCCCATCACACTACATCCCCTTTCTTAATTTTACACTAAATGTTTTATACCAATTCTGCAATAAACAAAATGCAATAATAATAATAGAATATAGTAACATAATATATTCAGTACTATACTATGAGGCAGCAGCCCACTAACCTCTCTATAATAGGGGACCAGGGGGTAAATGTCCCCTTGCCAGTCCTCCCTGTCTGAAATTCAATCTCTACCATATCCTACCGATCATTTCATTCATCAGCCCAACTCCATGTCCTTCTGTCTCTTGTAGCTCTATTATTTGTTTTTTTCCATTTCATTTCTTTTATCTCTCTTCCTTCATGCCGTTACAAGACATGTATCATGTCACCTGATAATATATATCATATTGATCCCTATGTATGTATGTATGTATGTGTGTCTGTCTGTGTCTATGTATGTGTCTTTATGTATCTGTTTGTGTGTGCATGTGTCTGTATGTTTGTGTCTATGTGTGTGTATGTCTATGTATGTTTCTGTATTTATCTGTGTGTGTGTGTATGTAAGCGTGTCTCTGTATGTATGTGTCTATGTATGTGTATCTGTATGTATGTGTCTGTATGTATCTGTGTGTATGCATGTGTGTGTGTGTCTCTGTGTATGTGTGTCTGTATGGATGTCTCTGTATGTGTCTGCGTGTGTGTATCTATGTATGTGTCTGTATGTGTGTGTATGTGTCTGTGTGGGTCTGTGTGTCTGTATGTATGTGTGTCTGTATGTAAATGTTACAAAGTTACATAGTTACATAGTTACATAGCTGAAAAGAGACTTGCGTCCATCAAGTTCAGCCTACCTCACATTTGTTTTTTGCTGTTGATCCAAAAGAAGGCAAAAAAATCCAGTTTGAAGCACAATTTTGCAACAAGCTAGGAAAAAAATTCCTTCTTGACCCCAGAATGGCAGTCAGATTTATCCTTGGATCAAGCAGTTATTACCCTACATTGAAAGATTATATCCTTGAATATTCTGTTCTTGCAAGTAAGCATCTAGTAGCCATTTGAACACCTGTATGGACTCTGATAAAATCACTTCTTCAGGCAGAGAATTCCACATCCTGATTGTTCTTACAGAAAAAAAACCTTTCCTTTGCCTTAGACGAAATCTTCTTTCTTCCAGTCTAAACGCATGGCCTCGTGTCCTATGTACAGTCCGGTATGTGAATAGATTTCCACACAATGGTTTGTATTGGCCCCGAATATATTTGTATAATGTTATATATTTGTATAAATGTATATGTTTGTTTTATGTTGCCACACCCTTTCCTTTTCCATGAATCCTTTTGTTTCAGTTGTTTCCTGCAGGAAGTTGTTTCATGTCATCTGCCCCTTTCTTTGCAGGTAGGTACTGTGTGTGTTTTATTGTTGTTTATTTGGCCATGCATACCTGGGCAGTTGTGACCCACCGTGGTAGGATTGCTTTGGCGCAGTGGTGGGCTGCATACATCTTGGCCATTTGTGTATGTCTGAATCTCCAATGTTTTACAAATATACTTAGTACTTAGTTATGTTTTCTCTTGTTTTGCCTTGCATCTCTGGTTTTGTTTTATTTTGTCTTGTATTCACAGTTCATGTACAGTCCTGTCCTGTTCATGTTTCCCTCATGTCTTGTGTACATGTTCTGGGTTTTCATTTCTGTCCTGCTCTGGTTCTGGGTTCTTCTAGTCTTTTCTTGTTTTCTTATTAGGTGCCTGTTCTAGTCTTGCCTTGTTTCTGGTGCTGGATACATGTCTGCTGCAGGGCCCCCCTGTACAGTTCCTGGGAGCTCTGCATGTCGTCAAGCTCCTAGCTCTTGGGATCCGCAGGAGCTGCATCCAGGGCCTTGGTATGTGGCCGCACAAATGCTGGTGCTCAACACCAGGGGGCATTTGGTTACCCTGCACCAGGCCCTGATGGTTCATTACCACGCTGAGACTCCTCTCTTCATCAGGCACTCAGGGGTCCCGGTCTCCGTACCGCCACCTGTATGTATCTATGTATGTGTGTCTGTATGTATGTGTGTGTGTCTATGTGTGTGTCTGTATATATCTGTGTGTATGTATGTGTGTGTGTGTCTCTGTGTATGTGTGTCTGTATGTGTGTCTACGTATGTGTCTCTGTGTGTCTGTGTGTATGTGTATCTGTGTCTGTGTGGCTGGCTGTATGTATGTGTATCTGTGTCTGTGTGTATGTATGTGTCTGTGTGTATGTCTGTATGTATGTGTGTCTGTATGGGATGGCGGTGGGGGGTGAGGTGGGAGTGGCGTTGAGGGGAGGATGGGGGGGCCCCATTGGTCATTTTTGCATCGGGATCCCATGGATTGTGTGTACGCCACTGATAACAGCTTTTGCGTGCTGGCAAAGCCTATTTGAGTTCCATTGTTGTCTTTGTTTTAATTTAGATATGATGCCCATACTTTCATTGGATTTGTTAATTATTTGCAAAAACTTAAACAGGGAACCAAGAAAAAAAATGAATGCACTCACCCGTTGACCCAAGCTAAAAGTGGATTGTTAAACTCTCTCATTGTGAGATACACATTGCTCCCTCAGTGACCCTCATATATGCGTTAGGTGCCACGATGAGCATAAATAACATTCTGGAAACACCAAATATAAATTAAAAGAACACTACCTGATGACTTTTTAACTGTTGCTGCTATTTAATCCCAAACAAGAAAGTGCCTTTCCTGGCTAAACATGGAAGCATTGTTTATGTGACTTGGTGTATTAAAATGAATCACTGAACTTTGAGTGAGTTGTGATGACATTGGTTCTTCAATCATTTGGAACTTAGAGTTTGGCTGCACCTGACAGTGTGGCGCTCAGCCTCCTCTCATTTGGGTTGTCCTTTTCTGATTTTTTTCTGAGGTTTCAGATCTCATTTGGCTCCCTTAGTTTGTGGATTGATTATCCCTTACGGTGCATTAATTAATGTTGTTTTATAATTTAGTATTTATATTTTGTAGTGCAATGTAAAACACAATATACATCAATCAAAAAGCATGGATACATATAATGCACTGATAATATTTCTGAGTAGTTTATGCATAAGATTAAAAAAAAAACACACACACAAAAAAACAGGCTAATATACATTGGGTTATCAGCATGTCAAGTAAGATATATTTGAAAAGAAAAATTAATATTGGACAGAGGCTTTTTTTTTTTTTTTTACTAATGTATGTCATCT